GTTGATCTTATAATTTTTGTTTTTGTTATTTTTCGTGATTGATAGTAACGTTGATTATTTTTTCGGTCATTGGAATATACTGAATAAAATTTTAGTATTGCACTTTTTCTCTTTGAAGATAGTACACAATAATGGGCAAAAAAGGTAATTGTTTAATTTGTTTATTATGATCTTACATTAAGATTTAACTATAAAACCAAATAATTTTATACTTCAGAGAAGTAATCAAATTCATTAGTTATTGTTAAGTTTTACATTATCATCAATATGTTTTAAAAGGATATTGATATAGTTTCCAAGTAATAAATTACTGAGAATCATTCATGTGAAAACTGAAAAATAAAATAAATAAGTTATTTATATTTTCTTATTTTTTCAAATTATAGACTGTTTAAAACTGCAGGATTTTCTTTGTCAAACTTATGTTACCCACTATTAGGGCTCCAGTCAGCTACTGTCTTTGTTTAGTCATTTTTAAAAAATCATAAAAATGAGTTTAGATGCAACCTAATGCAACTCATGATCCTTGATTTTGTTTCCTTGTAATGAATAAGACCAGCTTACCAATAGTTCAATTATAATTTATTTGTGTTTGTCTGTCCTGTATTGAAAACTCCTATGTTTTAAATGTTCGCCAATATGAAAGGGGTGGATTTAAATGAATAATTATTGACTGTTTTTTGCAACAAACAAGAAAATCATTTGTTTTGAACTAGATTTAACATTAATAAGTTAATATTTAATAAGTGAAACCAACATTAACGTTTTATTGACTTATAAAATACTAGTCATATATATTTGATGGTTATTATGAGCAACTACTTTTAGGATTATCAACTGTTAATAACATAGGCAATTGAATTTATTGGATAAAAATAAATATATTTCTCCACTATGAAAATTATTTATTAATTAATACTTCATATCATACTGGAGTATGTAGTGAAACAATATTGTGATATGCCTTCAAGGTCAAAATGTTACTAACTGGTTTGTTAGTCTATCCTAGAATATTTCGTACCTTATTTTCGTTATGCGAATTAATTTTATTTTTATATAATTTTTTGTTGTCTAATAATGCTTATTTCCTCATTTTATAATCTGCTGTTCAGCATTTAATTGTTTTATTAATTTGGTTTACTGATCAACATAAATAAGGATATTGCGTACCACTGTACTAATGTCACTTCACCTTGTCCAGTGGGCCAAGATCCGATGTTCACGGTATGAATCAGATTCTGAGAATTCCTATTGATTATCCGTCTAATTTCCATGTTCACAGATATTGTTTTATCATCTGGGAAACTGTTTTAATTAAAACTTAATTTTGTTCATATTATGTGAAATTGCCGTTTATAAATTTCACCATCTTAATAATTTTCCATACTCTTCTGCCTTAAATTTTTTTTAACCATTATATTTTTGTCTTAGTTTTTGGCAATTATTTTCTTTGACTATTGAATTGGGTACATAAAATTATGTTAAAGATTAAAAAGTGTATGAATATTCTTGAATATGTTGGATAATTAAATAAAATATGTGATTGTATTTGTCAAAACAATCTATAAACATATATAAAAATATGTGATGTATATTTATTATCTACTACTTTGCGTAGCTAGAAATAAAATTATTAGAATCTCCAAATTCGAAAATCCTTTTATCTCTTCTTCTTAATCATTTCCTCTTCTACCGTTGAGCTGTGTGAGGAGCCTTCTTGTAAAGCCGAATCTACAACTCTCGATCCTGAGCCTCCTCCAGTCAATATCCCTTCTGTCAAAGGCCTCCTTGACACTGGCCTCCTAGGTCTTACTGGGCCTTCCCTGATGTCTTCTTCTCTCAACTTTGCTTTCCAACGCTATCCTGGCCATTCGATTCTCTGGCATTCGAGAGATATGAGCAAACCATCTCAAACGATTTTCCTCCATCACCATTTCGGCTGATCTTACGTTTAAATTTTTCTGTATTGTGGAGTTTCTTATGCGATCTCTCTTTGTTTTTCCTTCGACCCTGCGCAGGGATCGCATCTCCATGGCCCGAATCTGACGGATGTGCTTTGTGGTGAGGGTCCATGACTCGCTGGAGTAGGTCATGATTGGGAGGAAAGTATTTTTGTACACGGTCGTTTTGGACTCTTTACTCACTTCTCTCTTGTTCAAGAATCCTTGCTTGATGGCGTTGAAGCACCGTCCTGCAGACTTCACTCTTTCCTTTATTTCTCCGTCGATCCATCCATATTCATTGATGTGGGCACCGAGGTATTTAAAAGTTTTCACTTGTTCCAATGGAACTCCACTCAAGTTCACTATTCTGTCTCCTCTTCCTTGTTTTCTGCCAATCCTCATTGTTTTGGTTTTTTCCACATTTATCTGCATATTTATTATACTTAATTCTCCCTGAGAATGCGGAGGTTGTATTGCAGGTTTCGTCCATTGCTTCCGAAAACCACCAGATCGTTCGCATAAGCGAACAGAGAGAAAAATATAGGCTGTAGATTTCTGTATCCCACTTGATATGACCTCATATTTTGTATTGCTATTTTTATTGCATTATCTAGCACTAGTGTAAATAGCAGAGGACTTAGACTGCACCCTTGCCTAATAACTTGATTAGTTGTGCACTCTTCTGATATATTATTGCATGTTCTCACAACATTTCATTGGGTCTTATAGAGACTTAGAATTGCCTTACGGAGGCCCTTTTCGATGCCTTTGTCTTCTAACGCTTTTGCTGTCTTGCTTCTTCACTCAGTCAAATGCCTTAGTGAGGTCTACAAAACAGGCATATATCTCTTTGTCCCTTTCTATTAATTTTTCAGACATTTGTCTTAAAGTAAATATGAGATCCTGGGTACTTCTATTTGGCCTAAATCCATATTGTTCTTCACTCAGGGAGGATTTCATTGTTCTTCGTAGGCGTTTTTCTAAAAGCTTTGAATATATTTTACTCGGGTCACTAAAAAGAGATATTCCCCGGAGGTTTTTATATTCTCTGTTATCCCCTTTCTTAAATATTGGGACTATAACAGATACTTTTCAATCCTTTGGAATATTCTTTGTTTTCCACACAAGGTTTAGAATGTGCTGGAATACTTCTATCCCCTTTTGGTTCATATACTTGATCATTTCAGGGGCAATCCCATCTATTCCTGCTGATCTTTCTGTTTTCAATGTGCCAATAGCATCCACAATTTCTTCTTCGCTGATAAAATCTTCTTCCATCGAGATCACGTTCGACCGTCCAGCTTCTTGATTTTCATCTTCAGTATTTTCGTCCAAAAGTTCTTTGAAGTATTCAGCCCATCTCTGCATGATCCCTTTGTTGCTTGTTAGGATATTTCTTTCTTTATCCTTAATTCGCTTGAGAACAGGTTCTTTCTCTTTGCGCATGTTTCGAAGCATTCTGTAGAAAAGCTTCTGATTTTCTCGGAAATTATCTTCCATCTTTCTTCCAAAATCTTCCCACATTTTTCTTTTGGCTTCTATGACCTTGTTTTCACTCTTTATCTTTGAGTTACGTATTTTTCATAATCATTATGGGAATTCGATTTTAGATACTGCTTCCAATACATCTTCTTCCTGTTGACTTCCTCTTTGACCTCTTCATTCCACCATGCGGCTCTCTTTAGTATTTGTCCGCTATTTATTTTTCCACAAGTTATTTCTGCTGAGTCCATCAGAAGTTTCTTGAAAGCTGACCAAGCTGTTTTGACGTTGTCCGAGTCCCAGGGGTAAATTCCACTAAGAATCTTTTCTTCTACCATGTTCTGATAAGCAGTTGCTATTTCTTCGTTTTTTAATTTGTAGGCATTTATCTTTTGTTCTTTTTGATACCTTTTATTTTTTTTCTTCAGCAAAACTTTATTCAGGCTGATGTCCATCCTCAGGAGCCTGTGATCGCTGACAATTTCTGCGCCTCTCTTGACCCTGACGTCTATTGCATTTTTGATTTCTTCCCTTGGTATGAGAAAGTAATCTATTATTGATTTTTCATTTCGCCCTGGTTCCACTCTTGTATATTGGTGTATTCTTTTATGTGGAAATATGCTGTTTGCGACGATCATTCTGTTGGCGAGACATAGGTTCAAGATTCGTTCTCCTGAGTCGTTGAGATGTTCTTCACCGTTCTTTCCTAAGGATCCCTGCCATACTTAGTTGTCATTTCTAACCTTGCCGTTTAAGTCTCCCATAATAATAGGGGTTCCATCGTTATTGTCTGTTTCTCTTTGCAATGTCTCAAAGAATATGTCTTTTTCTACAGCGGGTGCATTGTTATTTGGTCTGTAGGCAACAAGCAGTATGTAGAGTTTGTTATAACTATCATAAAATTTGATAGTTAATAATCGGTCATTTATAGCTTTCCATTCTGTTATGAACCTGGATATGTCTTTGTGGAATATGCTAACTTCCACGCTCTTAGCATGTTCAATGGGGTTCACTCCTGAGTATAACATCACAAAATCTCCGACTTGCTCCTCCCCTATTCCTTTCTTCTTGGTTTCTGTAATTCCCAATATTGTGATTCCTGCTTTCTTTACTTCCTCCACCAGCTCTACTTCCTTTACATTAATGCCTTTAACATTCCATGTTCCGAATCGAATAATGCTTTTTCCGGGCCATGTCTTAATCCTTGAAAACTGATCGGCTCTATACTCTTTAGTTTGTTTCATAAGATAGGTCTTGGGCAAGTAAGTTATGTGCCCAGAGCCTGATGGAGGGATTGCCTCCTTTAGAGCTTTCAGGCCAGTTCTCCCATTAATTCACGGGGAAGATGTTATACCACCGCTACTGACCTGAGACAGTGTTCCATTCAAAAACAGACTAATTACGATAAATGATCCTGTAGCTTGGAAAGAGTTTCCTAAGAGAAAAACTCATGCAATCAAAATTGTAAAGCATCAAATTTTGCATCCACTGACTACTAACATTTTTAATGTAGGTCATAAATCATAAATATATGAATAAAAATACCTATTATAATGTTACCAACTTATTCTAGGAAAGAAAGGTGGAGGAGGAGGGGGTGGTAGACAACCTGGAGAAGCAGGGGCTTCTAATCAACCTCAACAACAACAACAACAGCAGCAACAACAACAGCAGCAGCAACAACAGCAGAGACCACAGCAGCCTCAGCAACAGCAGAGACCACAACAGCCTCAGCAACAGCAGAGACCACAGCAGCCTCAGCAACAGCAGAGACCACAGCAGCCTCAACAACAGCAGTGGCAACAACCGCCTCAGCAGCAGCAGCAGCAGAGGCAACAACAGCCGCAGCAGCAGCAGTGGCAACAACAGCCCCAGCAGCAGCAGAGGCAACAACAGCCGCAGCAGCAGCAGTGGCAACAACAGCCCCAGCAGCAGCAGAGGCAACAACAGCCTCAGCAGCAGCAGTGGCAACAACAGCCTCAGCAGCAACAGAGGCAACAACCACCACAACAGCTGCAAAGGCAAGAACCACCACAGCAGCAACAAAGGCAAGAACATGCTCCTCAGGATTTTCCATTACCTGGAGCAGGTAGGAAGCTATTAATTTTTACTTTCACTTACCTATGTATGTAATATATAGTAAGGGTAAGAATTGCGATCTTGCAAATTTTCGAATCTGAGTTTTAAATGAAAATACACATTTTGAGGTCTTCGAGTCCAAATAACCAAGTCTTACAATCACAAAATGGTATGTGAATGTGTATGTACGTGAACAGTCTAGCTCAAAAGTCGTACTAAACTGTAATTGCATATTTAACATTTTTGTATGCCTGGAATGTTACAACAATGTTTTCGTAAAAATTAGTAAACCGGAAGTGGTACTTTATATCCTTGATTTTCTGAAAAACAGCTAACGATTTTGATTAAACTCATTGTGCAATTAAATTTTTTTTAAATATAGCGGTTTAATGAATCCTCATAAGGCTTAAATGAAGATTTTTCAAATATGTCTTCCTTTAAAGTACCTTTAATTTTGTTTGTTTTAAAAAATTAGTTCATTAAATTATTGTTCATTAAAAAATTCATATATTGATCACATAAAATGGTTAAATATAAATAGTGAAATAAATTGATTATGAACTAAAGGAGAAATGAGAGATTGTATCGAGGGATTAAAAATTGAAACTCGCACTCACTTAAGGTGATAGGGTATTAATGAGGAAATGAGAACTGTCGAGGAAACCCAAGCACGCCCTCAGGCTTGGTGGATGGGTTCCGGTTATATTATTTACTTATACATGTATCGTTTTCATAAATGAGAGGGCGGGGTGGCCGAATAGGCTAAAGCATGTGCACAGCACCGTGAGTTGCCTGGCAACCAGATTACAGATTTGAGAAGATCCCAGTGCCAGAGGGGATTTTAATTCCCCATCCCGGGAAAATCCCGTCTAGCCTAAAAAAAGCGAGGTAGGGAAGAACAAAAAAAAAAAAAAAAATGGGGTTTCATAAATGCTAGTGCTAGTTTTATTTAATATTTAAATGTATAAATTAAATTCTGTAAATATAATAGTGTTTAAACAAAAAATATATTTACAATGGAACATAAATGAATAAATGACATCCTTACTGACACACTCTTGTCAGACTAAAAAGAATTTGAGGCTCTTACTTATTTATTATAATTGAATAAATAATTAAAATAATCAGTTGTAAAAGGAAATGGTTAGTGAGGAAAAACGCATTCATTTAACATATTAGGTCAGAAAAACATATGGTAATTAATTATTTCAAATATGTTGTACCATACATGATTTTTTCTTTTAGTTGCTACCAGCTAAATATTTTAATAGTAGTATTATTTTATTACGGGTGCTAATGACTTAGCTGTTTTGAGTCTAAAACATCAAATTGTGAAAAGACCTATTTTTACTCGAATTAGGTTGGTATGTGAAAGTTGTGTGTTGTGCGAATCGCACCAGATTTTTTACTTTCACTTACTTATATGCGTAATATATAGTAAGGGTAAGTATTGCGATCGTGAAAATTTTTTAATCTGAGTTTTCAACAGAAATACACATTTTGCGATTCCCTAAGTCCAAATAACCGAGTTCCACATTATGTCTGTGTCAGTGTGTGTATGTATGTAAACAGCTTAGCTCCAAAACGAAAAGCTGTACGAAACTGAAATAGCGTATTTAAGGTTTTTATATGCCTGGGATGTCGCTGCAACATTTTCCTCAAAATCCGACCCACTGTGCAGGTCTTCATCAGGGTGTAGGATGTAGCACTGCGGGAGGCAGTTGAAACACTGCCAATATATAAACAAAATATAAATGTTGGGCACATGTGTTTTTTCAGATTCGTTTTCCAACTCAGTGGCTATGATATAATTTTAAAATTTCTGTTGCCAAAATGTTTTAATTACCCTCTAGGTTTCCTGACATATTAAGGTTTTGAATCTCTTTTTCCACCATAGTTAATTATTATTTTCTCTTCAATCTTTTACTAATTAAAAATGACACTTTTATTTAACTATAATTGATCAATTAATTTTTATAATTTACCGGCTGTGCCATGTAATATACTCTTGTTAAAATAATAAGAAAACAGTATCATCATAAGTGTCACAAACATAAGTAATATAAATAAAATTATGTATTATGTTTTAATTTATTGCTAAAATCTTCCTGATTCTTAAACCGTGAGGTATATTGTACATAATAGGTGGTAAAATATTTGTTTCAGGTGATTTCAGTTCAAAAAGGAACAAAAAAAAGGGTGGAAGACAAGCACAAGCTGGTCCACCACAGGTCAGTTAATCTTTTATATAAATTCCTTATTGTATAAAATTCCAGACCAAATATTCCTTAATAATTATTAATTTAAGTATGTCAAATATAAATTTAAATTAAATTAATGAAACATTATGAAGTATTGGTGTATGGTTTGTATATTTTGATAATAACAAAAAAGTAGTTTTTTCTATCATAGCTTAAATTTAAGTTTGTTTCAAATCTGCTGCTTGATAGAAATGTTTTTGTTTACTTAATTTATTGCCTGCTAAATGGTGTTATATGGGCAGCTGATTACATAATAATTCATCCCAACTGTTCAATATTGGGAGGCCTGGTACATGCCATATGACAGGGAGACCTTTTCTTGTGTTTAAAAAAAATTAAGTTTGAGCAATATTTGTGAATGATATAATGTTAATGATATTTATGGAATTAAACTGATATCCCTGAAGAAGAGGTGGAGTGACCGAGTGGGCTAACGTGTGTGCACAACCCATGTTACCCAACAACTTGATAACTGAAGTTGGACATAATAAAAGTATGAGTTCTGATCCCGGTGCCCAGGGGATCTTTTAACTCTGGCATTAATCGCCGCCCTCATCCCCTGGCCCAGGAAAATCCTTGCATAGCCTAAAAGGCGAGGGTAGAACAAAAAAAAAAGAAAGAAATTCCTGAAGTGGTAATCGGTGTTGATTGTATTAGTTTTAATAGATATAAATATATCATACAAGAATTAGTGGGGGGCCGGTCTCATATCTCCATTCAGTGTCTGTTTCCGCTCCTTGGGGGCATCTGTGCTGCCGTATCTCGCTGCCTCATTTTTGGGTGAAGTCGGGCTGTTTCTGTGAAGTTAGCTGAGCAAGTGAGGTCAAGGCAGGGCAAGACGAGGCTTTTGGGTCCTCATGTAGACGAGACCTGTGGGTCCTCGTGTTTAATATGAACAGAATGAAATTTTAAATATATAATAAATAATATAATTGAATTACTTGGATGTAAATCCAATACCAACTATGTTGTCATACATTTTCGAATAAGCATTTTCAACATATCTTGGTATTGAGCAGGGTAGTTAAAGCATTAAACATGTTTTATTAATAATTCAATTTAACTTGAAATTAAGTTGAACTGGATGAAAACAAAAATAGTATAAACTGATATTTTTCAATATGAAAGTTGTATCTAGAATAATTATGATAATAATAAAATACACCTATAAACTTGTCATAGGATGGTCTTGATTTGATCAACAATAGCATACAAAAATAAGCCTGTGATAACATATAAAAACTACTGGCTGAGCCAGGTGGTTTCAACTCTGTTAAATTTGTATATCTATTTCATAAGAGTACAAGGCTAAGTGCATCTGATTAACTGGATAACACCTGAAATTTGTTCCGAAACATTAAAGAACTCAATCAATCTAAAAAAAAATTAACACAAAAAGATCCTTTTGATTTCCTGTTATAACATTTCTGCAGAAATGATATTTAGTTCTTTTTCTTTTTGTTTTAAGTATGTACTGGTTTTAAAGCAACCTGATCTAGATTAGGCAACCTATAGTTGTTTATAGAAAAAAACAGTTTTCTCTTAAGATGTAAAAAACTCCAGTTTAGTAGATAGATGTAATTAGGAGGGATTGTTCTGTTGGTGGATGTGCAGATGACGAGTAATGCTTAGTAAGTACAGAGTCTGAGCCCCTTCCATTCACAAGACATCGCTAAGGCAGTAGGATGGTGCCTTGTCACCTTCTAAGTCTGGGAGACCGAGCAAAACAACTTTGGAACATTCTTTTTCTGGCCTTGTTACTTTATTAAACAACAATATATATATAGAATAGAATAGAAAAATCAAATTTATTCTGGAAACAACAAGTCCCTTAAGAATAACAATAAAAACAAAAATGATCAATTCAGGACATAAGACCAATTACATAATGAAATGAAAATATATTTTATTATTGTGGGACTGTTGTCCCTTTATGAGAACAGATTGCTTGTCTGTGTGGTCATAAATAAATTATATATTTACAATATGAGTTAATTAAAAATAAGAATATAGAAAAAGACAAGAAATTGTATATATTACTTAATATACTTATATAATATATAAGAAACTAAAATACTCTAAATAAATTGAGGTAGTCTCTGGGGATACTTAGATAGTTCTCTAAGGTATATTTTGTAATCAGTCGGATTGAGAAAGGAGTAGGTGTTTAAAGAGGAAACTGATTATGCGTTTCAATAAGAAAGTAATATAAATACCAATGTATATACATAGTTATAAAAAAAAATAATTAAGAGAAATATATTAAAACTGATAGGAAAATGTATAATAATACAGAAAGTGCAATTAAATTAATCATATAAGCAAATAATCTAACAAAGAAAAATTAAGTAAATTATTGATACTTCTGCAATTTAAAAAATGTATAACTTAATAAACCTAATTGTTTGGAAAATGTGATAAATAAATTAACACTATAGTAAACTGTACCCAATGGCTGGCTCTGTATAAAGTAATATGAAATATGTCAATAAAAAACAAACAAAAAAAGTATAAAGAAAAATAAATCCTTATTTCATTATAAATATTTAGTAAGGGTCTTATTGAGTTGTAAAGAGGAACTGTAAAAGGAGGGTTTTAAATGTGGATAAGGAGGGAAATCGCAGATTTTAAGAGGGAGAAAATTGCAAAAAACTGGTGGAGCGAAACATGAAGAAGTTTTGGAATGAGGTAGATCTATGAAAAAGGATGTAAAGGTCAGAGGGTCGAGATCTTGTGGAGAGTGAGTGGATATATGTAACCTCTACAATGATAACTGATTACCACTTTTTTTTTCTCATCTTCTTCGTCTTTTTGGCTAAACGAGATTTTTCTCACTCCAGGGGAGTGAGCGAAGGATTAATGCGTGAGATAAAAGCCTCCTCTGTCACTGGAATTCGAACTTTTAATCCTCTGTTTATCAAATCAAACGGTTATTTTACACACGTGTTAGCCCACTCGGCATCCTGTTTCTGTTCGCAACTAATCTGCTCGCATCTTCATAAAAAACTCAACTAACTCCCTAATGCCTTGAGACGAGCCAACTCCAGTTGTATAGTACGCATTAAAATTCCTGATTGTGTTAAAACATTCTGGATTCAATGTTATCTAAATCTTTTGAATACTTGCTGTTTTAAAAATTTTATTACACAAAAGCATTATTTTATTAAATTTAATGATATAACTCAATTCTTCAAAATTTAGTACAGTATACTACTACTATCAATAAAAATATTTTACATAATGTAAATATTAAACATAACTTAGTAAAAACAAATGTTACTACTGATCATTTAGATATAGATATAAAAAATAAATAAATAAAGTTATATGAACCCAATGTCTATTAAAGCCGCGGTGCATTAGGCCAAAAAAAAAGGAAAAAAATGAAACAGAAAATGTATTGTGGTGCATGTATCATACAACTTTCACTTACCACTCTATCTTGAATAGAAATATATATTTTTATGAGTAGGGAAATGAATAGAAAAATTGTGAAAGGTATAACATATTTTAATTAAAACAACTAATTGCCATATGAAAAATGGTCGAGTTCGAATCATTAAAGGAAATGTACTAATATTAAAAATTAATTGCTTGTTGGTAAATTGAAAAAAAATCCTGAGACTTTTGAAATTTGGTCCTCGTTGAGGAAAAAATAAAGCAAGTTGTTCTGCCGGCTGTGAACAGGTAAAAACATACTGATTTTTATACTCTCAAAAATTATATTTTTGCAATTGCCAACACAAGTGGGATTGCTCAGTGAATAAGGCACTGTTCTCTTCCAGTCCCATTTTTTTAGTCTGGATGTGGCATACAATTATTTGCTCTATTAAATCAGCTGTTGATCAAAAATTGAGTCTGAAGACCCTTCTGAGGCACAACCAGTATCCATAAACCTGGTACTCTTAATTAATAATTAATTAGGAAAAGAAATCTGTTGATTGAGCGTGATCTCTATTATAACATCTCCTTCCATAACTGTTGGCCAATAAACAGTACTCCTTCACAAAACGGTATAAATCTTTAAAGATGACATTTTTAACTAGTATGTGTAATGATATTTAGCTTATATTTTGTGTAGGAATCTGGACCAGGACCGGGTGCTGTACCACCACAGCAAGCTATTCAACATGGCCAGCCTGCACCTCTACACCAACTTCCTCAAGAGCAAAGTAAAATAATATATTTTTTTGTGATATTTCTGTTAAAGTCATCTAGAATTAACATTTTACCACTAAAATTAATATTTGTAGTTTAATACTGTCTGATTTTCATTTCTACCATATCTAGAGATTGAGATTATGACAACTGGTAGCAATTTAAATATAGAATATTATGTTTTTGCTTGTCATCTTAGTTGTTAACCATTAATCTATTTGTGGTTATTTGATTTGGAGCTTTATTTTATATTTTTGTTTTCTTTGAGGGATGCAACAACCTCCTGCTTTTACCGTTGGTCAAGTTAGACAAGCCGCTCCAATTACCAGACCTCAAGCAATGGAACAACAGGGACCTCCTCGACAACCATGGGGTCAACAACAACAACAGCAGCAGCAGCAACAACAGCAAGCTCGCTTCCCTTTGCAAACTGGTCCTAGAGGTCAAACTCCATGGGCACAAAGAGGGTAAGAATATTATAATCACTATATTTTATTTCTTGGTATGGTAGATAATTGTTTATATATATATATATATATATATATATATATATATATATATATATATATTGTTTTTTTAATTAAAAAATTAAATAATACATATAATTTTAATTATCTCTTAATTAATTTTAAAAATATTTTGTATATTATTTTTAATTAGGGTAACATAAGCGCAACAGTCAAGGGTTATAGCTAAGAAAATTTTTTTTTTTTTTGCTTATGCCACCGTAATTATTATAGTTATAAACTTCTCCGTTGGACATTTAGAATCTCTAGCGTCTCCTTTTTCTATTTAACACTAAAATTGAAAAAAAAAAAAAATTCATTTTTGCAGCTATAATCTCCATTAAAAAAAAAACACCTTTTTCCACTAATCATCGACACCCTGAAATTCAACTTTTCTAGTGATGGACAGGGGGTCAGTACCAGTAATGAACATTGAAATAGAAATATAAAATAAACTTTATTTCGGGACTTAGTCCCCTTAGAATAACAATAATGAACAATTACAAAAATAAAAATACACATCTGCCCAAAAACTAACTTAATAAAGATTCAAACAATATATACAATAATTTAAATAACAGTATGTAAACAAATGTAAACAAATAAAAAACGCTGCAAATTATTTCACAATGGTTTATTATTTCCAAACAATTATACATCTAAAGTAACATTACCTTCCGAGTTACAAAGAAAAAAAAACAAAAGGTGATTCCAATTATTGGACTAAACTGTTTTTCTTTAATCATTAGTAATATGCTAAAAAAAAATAACATTACTTCAGTAACAAAATCCAAAATTTAAAAACTAAACCAAGGTTATAACATTTGGAGTAGAACATATAAAAAAAAGCGGAGACCATATGTTTGCTCCTATTTGTCTGATTTTAACGATTTTTTTTTGTTTTTTAGGAAATTTCGTAAACTTTTAAAAAACTATCAATATCAACAAAAAAGTAAAAACTTTTCGAGTTATTCGGAATTTAATTTTACCATCCCTCGTAACTTTTTTCCAGCTTCTTTTCGTTGAAGTATATTGTATAGATAAATTTAAAGGGCGTCGAGAAACTGACTTTAGCGAAGTTTCATTGAAATCTGTACATTTGTTTAGGAGCTACAGTCTGTAGCAACGCAGGTTTTTCGGCCGTCATTTTGAAAATTAAAGGCGGAGAGTAATGTCGATGAAGGAGGATCATCCTCGGGTGACCTCTGATTTTATATCAAAATTTGAAAAAAATCGGTCCAGTAGTTTCGGAGAAAATGCGCGGAAAGCGGACGGACAAACAAATTTTTATTCGTTTTTCGAATTCTACGCGTCCTGTAATGTGAAACCTCAAATTTTGAGAGGGGGTTAAGTTTTTGAATTATTTGGTCGATCACAATGGTTGATTATTGAAAATAATAAACCAAAAATGTACAAAAGCAGATATTAAGATGGAGAAAGATGTACGTATATAGAAATTGAGAAATGTAAAAAATGAAATACATTTCAAATACATAAAATCTTGTAAATAGAAAAAAAAAATGGATAAAACAACAAACAGTTTCCTATTTTTTTATTTATCACAGTGCTATGTTAAAAGTTATACTGAATCTTTTCCAATTCATAAATAATAAACAAACAAAAATAAAATAGTGGTGTATGAAAATAAAAATAAAACACAAATAATCCCTGTTTCATAATACATAATTAACCATCATCTGATTGGATTGTGAAGAGGAATTGGAATAAGAGGGTTTTGAATGTTGGTAAGGTTGGTGCATGTCAGATTTTGAGCAGGATGTAATTCCAAAAAGTGGTGGAATGGGCAATAAATGAGTTTTGAAATGAAGCAGATCTGTCGAAAGGGATGTAAAGGTCAGAAGGCATACCTCAGAAAAATTCTAAAATCTTTATTAAACGATAAATACATTTATTTTAATTAATTGATTTGTTTATAATTGGTTTATGATATAATTGAATTTATATAAAAAATAAACATAAATTTTTGAGATGCTTATATAATAGGTAATATATTACTAAAAAAAAAAATTGATTGCACTGCTTTATTTTCAAGTAATTTTATTAATATTATTATTATTATTAATATTATCAAGTCATTTTATTAATATTATATTTGAAAGAGGATATCGATTTTGCGTGTCGAATATCTGAAGGTATAGAGTTCCAGAGGGAGACATCTTGTATTAAAAAGGATTTATCAAATGCAGCAGTTCGGTGAGGGGGAGGATAGAGGTCGGTCGCCATGTTGTAATGGCTCGGTATAGGAAGGTAGCCAGAAAATATTGACGGCCACTTCAACTTGGTGTAGAACTGGGTAATATGCATATCCCTTGAGATCCTGAAGATAAAGCGGATTGAGCAATTCATTAAACATTTAAGTTTGGCTTCGAGTTCTCCCGAGAGTCCACCATACACCATGCAGCCGTAGTCGAAGTGGGGGAAAACAAGAGAGGAGACCAGGAGTTGACGGGTTTTGAACGGAAGAAGATAACGTAGATGGTTATCTAATCAGGGTGGATATAGTACGGTGGGAGATTTGGGAGGTGTGTGGTTTCCAGGAGAGGTTTGATCGAGGGTAACGCCTAGGTTTTTAACAGTGGTATGGAAGGAGATGTGTTGAAATGGATTTGAGGAGTGAGGGGGATCCGATCAGGATGGCTTTTGTCTTCTCCGTATTTAATGTCAGCTTATTAAGATTTGCCCATGCGCATATTCTATTGATGTCTTGTTGCAGTTTCAGTATAGCATTAGAAGAATCTGTCGGGTTGAAGGAAAGATAAATTTGGACGTCATCGGCATATAGGTGATATTGACAGTGTATGATAGAGGAAGGGAGATCATTAATATAGATGGAAAAGAGGGTGGGGAATAATGAGGAATCTTGTAGGACGCCTTGAGGATTATTAGGAACTACAACGTACTGGGAGCGATCGGTAAGAAAGGATTGGAACCTCTTAAGGGTACTGGATGATAAGGATATATTTTTAAGTTTGGATAGCAGGATATTATGGTCAACTGAGTTGAATGCTTTAGAGAAATGATTGGAATTAAAGGAGGGGTGTATGAGGGGTGGAGCTGGTGCTTGGACAGAGGGATCGGATGAACAAGAGACAAAATGAGTGTTGAGTATGTCAGCTGAAATAGAGGTAGTCTGGGTTTGGGTGGATTTGCGGAAGGATAATTTACGGAGGATTGCCCATATAGCTTTGGAGTTTGGTGTGCTGGATAAAGATTGTTGGTAGTGGTGGGATTTGGCACGGTGTATCATGGATTGCATACTGTTTCGAAGCAGCTTGAAATTTATGTAGTCTTCGGGGAGTCGACTGCGCTTAAATCTTTGTCTAGCTGCTTTTCTTCATTTGATGCAATTTTTTATCACAGGTGTGGGGCTGGCGGGTACTTGATTGTCCTTACTTTAAGAGGATCGTGATGGTCTAGGATAATGTGCAGTTGATTGGTTAAGTTTTCCACCATAAAGTCAATGGAGTTAGAAGAGTATATGGAGTCCCATTGGATTGCGTCAAGATCGGGCATCAAAGTTTCGGATGATAGGAGATTAAGGTTTCTGAAAGAGATAGATAGGGGACTAAATAGAGGAACAGGAAGGTTATAGGAGATCTGTATGAGATCGTGAGCAGACAAAAACGGAACCGGGTGCTGTGATGAGGCGAGGAGTTTATTAGGATAATGCAAAGATCGAGCCAAGAGTCTGAGTATTGGGTGTGATGGGTAGGGTTGTACGGAACTATATACATATTAAAAGAGTAAAGGAGGTTTGATAAATAGGCTTGATCAGAGGTAGGAAATAATAGGTTGGTATTGAAATCTCCGAACAGAGCAATATTGGAATAGGAAGGGCTCAGTTCGTAGAGGATGGTCTCGAGTGTTTCACCAAAGGGGATTCTAGGAGGTCAGTAGATGGCACCAATGAGCAATGAATATGTGGAGGTGGATATTTCAGCAAAGAGATATTCGATCTGTGGGGAGACAGAGAGAGAAGACAAAGCAAGGATTTTGAATTTCAGGCTGTCATGAACAAAAATGGCTACTCCGCCTCTGGTTCTATTTTCTCTATCGTGACGGAGTAGGGTATAGTTAGGGAGTGAAACTTGAGAGGATGTGACCGTGGGTTTCAACCAAGTTTCTGTGAGATAGCAATTAGGTGGTAGATGTTATGGAGGAAGAAATCACGGAATTCGTCTATGTGGTCTAAAAGTGACTGTGCGTTGACATGACAGGATAATAAGACATTAGTCATAGGAGATGGTAGATTGGGATAGAGAATCGGTAATAGTAGTGACTTATCGACAACTTTCTTCAAATACAGTCTTCAGTCGATTATAAGAGTTCATTTGATGAACCTTAATGTCTGTACCGCTCAATTTTTCTATTACCTTATAAACAACTTTTGACCCTATAAACAGACTTCGGATTTTTGTTTATGATTATCAATAATGAACCATTGTATTTAATCAAGAAAATTAAAGGGTAATTTTTAGTTAATTATATATTGTTATTTGAAAGATAAAGAAACTACCTAAAAAAATTTTTTTTTTAAATTATCAAAATCAGACAACTTGGTGCAGAGAAATGGTGTTTTGAACTTTTTAAATCTGTTTTATTGCAAAGCCTGTACTTTTTATTTTATAACTGAAAGAAGTACTTTTTTTTCTATGGAAAAAGTTGATATTGTTATCTGAAGAATAATTTGATTTTTCACTTTTTATAAATGAAAAATGAATAATAAAAATCTTTTAAACAGACAACTTTTTATGTAATATACCAAAGAATTGGTAGGAATAATGTTGTATGACACGCCACATGTACCTATATGGTTTACAAATATTTGGCTGTGTATTTACACTTCGAGCAAAATATTCTATTAAAACTGGTAAAATCAATAGACGTGTCTGGAATTAATGGAAATACAGTGGGCCCAGTAATGGACATGGTCTGGCCCAATGATGTATATCTCTGTCTAAGACTGGTTAGAGATGTTTTAGATAAAAACTAAGAATACCAAGCGATAATCTGTTGTTTCTAGACACAGAAAATACAAAAACATGATAAATGTTAGCAAAAGTGCAGAGCACCAGTAATGGATATGGGTGTCCATAACTAGATTTGGGTCGATTTAATGGACACGCCCTAAAAGTTGTTAAATTAAATTTAATGCTAAAATCAATTAGCTGAGGTTCTAAAATGGTAAATTGAATATTTTCATAGTGAAAACTCTGAAATTTAACATAAACACATATGAACATAAATGTTCAACTTACTCTTAGCAAAACTGTTAGTAGGAAGGTATGACACTATACCGATCTTGAGAGCACTATAGGAACAACAATAAAAGGTATTTTTCTTCAATCTAGAAAAAACTGGAACTTTTAAATCAAAAAAGAAACTTATTATTTACATTCAAAGCCAAAGCTGTCCATCATTGGGCTCCCTGTCCATAACTGGTGTGCGTACACCCTATGTAAATTTTGGACTGAGGATTTTCAGTTTCAGTTACTGTGAATAATTTGAGGTCCAATAAACGATATAATAACACATACTCATGGATATGTTTATAATTAATTTAAATACATATTTTATCATGTGATTTAATTAATAATTGTAAAAAATATGGTACAGTGCAATAAACAAAAAATAATTTGAAGTCCAATAAACGATACAATAACACTTACGCATGGATGTTTATAATTAATTTAAATACATATTTTATCTGGTGATTGAATTATTAATTGTAAAAAATATGGTGCGGTGCATGTCCCACTCAACTTTCACTTACCACTATGTACCATTATGTATTTTCAGTCCAGGGGAAAGTGAATGTAAACATTACAGATGGTACAACATATTATTTACATGAATTAGTTACCATACGTTTTTCATAGTCATCGAATATATTATATTTTCGTATAACGACTCAATATCTTTATTGTTTATTTAATTATGTCATCGGTAACAATGTAAGCATTGTCTGAGGCTTACTCACAAGCTCTTAGGGATGCATTGTTACGACTGTTTTTGTTTTTCCCTCCGCCATTTTCTAATTCTCTGAATCTGACACTGTGCATCTTATAACTTCATCTCCTTTTGCATCTAAATTGTATTGGACTCTACTATTCATTGTATTAACAATTATTATTTATTTATAAAACTGATTACTACTTTAGAAACACTTGTCGCTTACTTGATCTTCTTTCAGTGTCCCTACTTTCTAGTGTCAAATATTATAACTTTTCTTTAATAACAAAATAACATAAACTTTTATTATCTCTTAGTTAATTTTTGTACTCATCAATAAAAATATCTTTCATATTGTATTCAATTACGTAGATTTTGGGCTGAAGAATTACATATTTAGTCACTGTGAAGGGTTTGAGGTCCAATAAACTACATAATTACATGTAAGCATGCATATATTTATAATTGAATGAAACATATTTTATCTGATGATTTAATTAATAATTGTTAAAATATAAAATACTATTAATATTGTCGTCATCGTGTCACAGTAACAAATGTTAACCTGCCCAACATTTCACATTCATTACTTTAACATGGTGTCGATGATATGATTTCCTGCTAAAAATTCCAAAAACTCTAATTTGGTCAAAGGTTGGTTGAAAATAAATGAGTTGTGAAATTTAGTTCAAAATGAAGAATAAAAATACAGAAAAAATATATATATTGCAATATTTCTTATATTTTAAACTAATAATAAACCTCGTGGAAGATCACTTAAAGATGTTGTTAAATAATAAACAAAATTATAAGAATATTAAATAATAAACTGAAATTTATAATTATTCTATCTCCTCGGGTATGGATTACTAACAATCAGATCAAAATACTCAGACAAACTAAAATTAACTACTGAGGAAGGAGATGTTCTCATATGGCAGTCATAAATAGACTAAAATAGTGGCAAAACTATTTTATTAAAATACTACAACAATTCCTGCAAAGTTGGGTCGAAACGTTGGCTTTTAATAAAATAGTTTTGCCACTATTTATTTAGTTTTAGTCTATTTATGACTGCCACCCCGGACCATCTCCTTCCTCACAGATCTATGTGTATACCGATTAAAAGTTTAGACTCACCCTTAGATTTTGTAAAATAAACAAATGACAAAATTTTTATATCTTAAATAATAACAAATCAGCTTAATTTGGTTAATATAAGTGCAATTATTATATAAGAACTATAATTTTATTTGCAAATTATGAACATTGTCCAATTTTTTATTTTTTGAAATATTTCACTTCTGCCTTAATCAGAGAATAGCATATTTTTGGCATTCTTTCTATTAATTTTTGCAATGTTCTAGTTGGGAAAGTTTGTTTTAATTAGTACATTGTATCTTCTCAACATTTCTCTCGAGATCAACCCACAACAATTCAGAGGCGTTGAGATCAAGGGATTGTGGCCACGCCATGTATTTTTTTGTACTTTTTGCTTTTCTTTTGTTTAAATAAAATTTCTACACAATTTGAAAGAATGCTTTGGAACGTTATCCTGCTAGAAAACAGATCCTTGACCCACAAATTTCTGTCCACATGGAAAATCGTGACGCTGCCAAATTCAGTAATTTTTTTTTTTATTCAGTAATTCTCTCTATTCAGACAAAATATCCAAATTTGTCATCAGAAAAACATCCCCACACCTTAACTGATCCTTCACCTTGCTGTACAGTTGATATTATACATTGATTCATCAAGCATTCACCAACCATACGACGAACATACTGCCTTCGTTTACTTCTAAAAAGATCAAATTTTGGTTCGTCATTGAACAACACTTTCGATCACTATTCTACAGAGCAATTTCCATATTTTTTGTCTTATTCTAATTGTTTGTTTTTTACGTAAGAGAAGTTTTTCTAACAGCTATATTACTACAATTTTCTTTCACTCAATATAACATTGAAAGATTTTTTTTGTAAATAATTCTTTACTAAATATTTAATTAAAATGTTGTAAACAATATTAGTGAAAACAAAACAATTAAAAGTATAGACAATATTAAAATTTCTACTTAAACTTTCTATTGATTCAATGCACAAATATTACATTACGTAATTATGTAATACTTTTTTATTTTTTTTATTATTTATTATGATATTTACAACTGTAACAAAAAAATACATCCAGTAAATTCATATATGGCTATAATGACATAAAACATGTTGAGAACTCTAAACATTGGTAGCACTCTAATAATATGTTTACATTAGGAGATCACGGGGCCATCTTCTTTTCAGACTCCTCGGAGGTTTATCAGGAAGCAATGTTAGAAGCAAGAGGGTCGGGAGGGTTATGAAGTTTATTATGGAAGGATAGATATCTGAATTGGGCCAAATCTGAAACATAAGGAACATTAAGGTCATTGTGGATGACTTTATTTGTAACAAAGTAAGGAGCATTGAGGATTTTATGAAAGATTTTGGATTGTGTAAGGATTGGATACGAGAGGAATTTGAAGGTTTGGTGGAGCCCCATAGCTCAACTCCGTAAGTCCAAGTAGGGCTTATTATAATTATGTATATGAGTCTTTTGTAATTAATTGGAAGGTTAGAGCGTTTGTCTAGTAAGTGTTGAAGTAGTCCGAAACGTCGAGCGGTTTCTTGTCGTTTCAGTCTAGTTTGAGGATTCTAGGTAACGAATTTGTTCAACAGGAATAAGCGAGGTATTGTTAAAGGATACTGAAGGACAGGAAGTCATTGGTTTACGACAAAGGGTAATGTTAATTTGATGGGATTTATTTTAATTCTCCAGTTTTGACACTATTCTTCAAGGTTTGTGATGTTGTGTTTGAAGAGTTTGGGATGCAATTGATGGGTCGTTATTAACTGATAGGATACATGTGTTATCGGCGTACGTGGTGATGACAGTGTTGGGATGTCAGCTTTATAGACTGTGTAAAGGATAGGACCTAGGATACTACCTTGAGGAACGTCTGCAAACTAGGAAAAGCGGGATGTATAGGCATTGTTGTGATATACTTAAAAGTATCTATCAGTAAGGTTAGAACCGATGATGAGGAAGTATGTAGATAGTAGGAATTTTCGCAGTTTGTACAGCTGTCCCGGGTGCCAAACTCTATCTAACACCTGTTCAACGTTGAGAAAGACTCCCGTACAGTACATTCCGCGCTCCAATGCAGAGGATACTAGGTCTATCATATGATGACATTGCTGTGTAGTGGAATGGGAGAAGTGCAATCAAAATTGTGCTCTGGGATTATGTGATTAGAATTTAGGATGGGTTACAGGCATTTGTAATACTAATTTACTAAATAAACTATTTTGAGTTTAGTTACTTTAATAATTGTTTTTAAATAAATTTTCCAGTCCACCTCCCCAGCAAGTGTCTCAACCACAGTCTAGGGAAACAACCCCTACCCACCAAACTCAACTACCACCTCAACAACAACCAGTATCTCCTGTAACCAGTGCACCTCCTGTTAGGCAACAACCCGGTGACCAGCAACCCAGCAGACCACCTTCATCTCAGCCTCAAGTACAGCAACAAGCGGCAAAGCCAAGGTCTCCCGCTGAAGGTAATTTTAATTTACATAAATAATAATTTATTGATGAATTGTATATTGTAAGAAATCATTTTGAAAATTTTAATTTAATTTTTTTTTTTTTTTTTACTGAATTCTGATAAAACTTTATTAAAGCAGATTGCCATTTTTTTTTTTTTATTCTTAACACAAGAATTTTCCCTGCTAAATTAAATCCCAACCACCCTATAGCACAAAAAATAAATATAGCTAAAAATTTCATAATCATCACAAAATAAAACTAGGAATGTATTGGAAAACCACTTAACATACATGAAGGACAAAATAAAAAATTGATAAACAGGATGTAATTTATGAAATAAAATGTTTTTTTTTTTTTTTTTTTTATTATTTAATGGAATTTACAACTGTATACAAATACAACAAGTAAATATGCGCATATATAAATAATGGTATGTACAAGCTTGAAGAGTTACTACCCAGTGGTAGCACTCTCTAAATAATTTTAAGTAAGAAGATCACGAGGCCATCTCCTTTGAAATAAAATGTAAAACTGTAATAAAATTTACATAAGGTAGATCTCAAAAAAATTAAACACAATAATTACTCAGCATAAAAATAACTATAAAAATGTGAAAAACAAAAATATAACAGCCCTGATGCAACACAGTGTAATAAAAAACCATAGTTTTGATTTTGATAACACAAAAATTCTAAATATTGTCAAATATCCAAAAATAAAATGAAAGAGGCAATATAGGAAAAACAGCTAAAAATATAGTAAAAACAAAATTTTGCCGCCTTAACAAGCCTTTTCCATCTCTGCCTGTCTTGGGCTATTTCTTTCCATTTCTCTGTACGCAGCTCTATTGTTATGTCGAGGCTTCCAGATGGATTGCTACGAGCTACATGCCCATGCTCATCTTAACCTCCATGCCTTCATGCCATGAGATATTGATTGACCAGTTTCTGTAAGCAGTTCTTTATTGGTCTTCTCTATGTGTTAGTACTGTGATCCTAGATCGCCCCGGTTACCGTGCAGAGGATTGTCCTCTCAAATCTTTCAACACTTTTTTCTAGGGTGCGGGTTAGTGTTCAGGTCTCACAGCCATATATTAGAACTGGTTTTATCATAACATTGTACACCCTTAATTTGAGATTTCTTTAGATTTTTAGGGATCAGTACTTATGAGAGAGAGAACAAAGCTGTGTTTGCACTAGTTATATACTTGTCTATTTCTGCCCGTTGGTCATTTATTGGGGTTATTGTGGAGCCGAAGTATTTGAATTTTTCTACTCTTGGAAATGATTTTCCTACTACGCAGATCCTGTTATTGGGGTGGATTTTTTAACTCATTGTCATATATTTTGTTTTGTCTTCATTTACTTGTAGGCCGATCTGCTCTACCCCTCTTATCAGGGTTGTAGATAGTTTCTCAATGTCCTCTTGATTACTTCCAAGGACAGCTATATCATCTGCGTATCCAAGGATTTTATAATTCATTCCGACGTGTACCCCTCAATTTTCTTGTGATGTTACTCTTATTACCTTCTCCAGGACTAAGTTGAACAACATCCATGATATTCCATCTTCCTGCCGTTAGCCCATTCGAACTTTGAAGGCTTCAAGATACTTCTCGTTGTATTAGGTCTTTACATTAGGGGTAATTTGTACATGCCTTTTGTCAATCTCACCAACTTACCAGGAACTTCCAGTTCAGTCATAATTTTCCAAAGACAGCTCCTGTCCACAGAATCATAGGCTGCTTTGACATCAACAAATAGGGCGTGGACCTCCTGAGCTATTTCTCATCATTTTTTGAGTATTTGTTTTAGGATGAAGATCTAGTCTAGCATTCTCCTCTCTTTTCTGAATCCAGCTTGGTGGTTGCCTATTATATTCTCGTAATATGGATATATCCGGTTTAGTAGGATATTGGTCATTATCTTGTAGGCAACCAGAAGCAAGCTTTTTCTAGCATTTGCCTATTTCTCGCTTCATATCCTACCCTTTCTTTCCTAATGTCTGCTTAGAATTCGTGTTATAGTTTATAGATATAAAATTCATTATTAATTATTATTATTATATATATAATAGTTATTATTTAAAAATACTAATTCATTTATCAATATTACATCATTACTATTGTTTTGATTAATCCCTTTCTTTGGTAGTAAAAATAATTAATGAAACTGTTGTTAACATTGCATTTAACTCATTTTATAACTAGTTATAATATCGCTTTCTATTAATTTTAAATTTTAATTTGAAATTGAAAATTTCAATTTAATACAAGAAAATTATGTAAAATGAATACAATCATTGCACTTGGTGTTTTCACCTTTTCAGTAGTAATATATTTCATTAGTTCATTAAGATGTCTGCTATTATACGTAATATATATGTTTTATTGATACCATTTACATTTTCTTTTTAAATTTATAAACAGTAACCTATCAGCAATTTACAATGAACAAAAACACAATGCCCGCCACTCAAGACATCGCCTTTAAATGAAAATATTGTTTTTTTTATTATCCTGGGACTATTGTTCCTTTGGAACAAATTATAGATACAGAAAAAAATGCCTTTGTGGCCATAATTTAAATTAAATATTTACAAAATAATATATCATTAAAATTAAAATATATTTATGATGTCAAATTGTTAACAAAGTCAAAAGTAAACAAAGCAAGAGGATCAATCTGTAATTCTTTTCAGACCTTTCTTGATTTCAATTTTAATTTATTCTAAAGAAAGTCAGTTATTTATCAAACCTTTTATTGATAGTTTTGTAAAGTCTTCTAATTATTAACTTTATTTCAGGTAGTGCTTTAGCAGAAAAAATGAGAAATATAGATATCAAATCATCGTCATACATTCCACCCAAAAGAGGGGACCGCCCTTCAGATCCAAAAAAAGGAAGAGAAATTGTTGTGGAAACTAATCATCTCAATTTAAATATAAAGAATAAGAATATGGTTATTCATCATTATGATGTATCTATCAATCCTGAAAAACCTTATCGCAATTACAGGTTCGTATACAGAAATATTTAATTTTTATTTTTATCTGAATAATTTCATTGTCCATTTAAATAATCAGAGCCATCAACTTATAAACCTAAGGAAAGATGAAAATAGTAATATAATTTTTCATTACATATTTTAGTCTACACTTTATAGCATACGGTAGTATCCAGTTCTGGGTCTCAGGAGTAATAGATTTTGACAAGGTGTAAACAACAAAAAAATGTATGTAGTAGTGACAAATTCTTGCATTTGAACAACATTCTTTTTGATGAAAATAGTTTTGACTATTGAGTGTTTTTATGACTTTGGCCCCAAACAATTTAAGATGAAATGCAAAACTAAGTACTTAAAAAAACCAATTAAGGTATGTGCTTTAGACTACAAGATAGAAGTGAAGACATCAAGGCAAGATTAATAATATGAAACATAAACTATAAATAATAGCTCATTATAAAGAGGATGAAATGCTGAAGATTTCCCTCGCTTGCAGTATGCAGGTCCGATTTTTAGTTTCTGAGATATTTTAATCCATATCTCTCTTTCATAAAACTCGTTATCATTTGGTTTTGGACACTATATTTTTCCTTTTCGCCTCTCTAACACGTCGTCACATTAAGATACAATTTCGAATAATAGCCCATTAGGGAGAGGATGAAATGCTGAACATTTCTCTTGCTAACGATATGCAGTTCCGATTTTTAGTTGTAGAGATATGTTAGTCCAATTGCAAAAACACTTCAATTAGTAGACTCCAGCCGACTTTATCCAAGCATTACACATCAGAGATCTGATGGCTCAATCTAATTCACTCTCCACAAAAAAGTATCAAATGGGCCTAAAGAAGTTTTCACTTCAAAAATAATATTTGTTACAGAAGGATGTTTTATAATTAATTGACTAATTGATTAATTCTGCAGTGACATATCTTTTCATAAAATATATTCTCAATTGTTGTTAAAATTTCAGACAAGCTGTGGAAGCTGTTCGACAGAGGTGTTTCAAAAATCGATTTCCTGCCTTTGATGGAAAGAAGAACCTCTATAGTTATCCTGAGTTGCCTCTCCAAAAAACGGTATGGGCTTCCTGAGTTGATTTAATAATGAAGTTTAGTGTTTTTGTGTAGCTGATATCAACAAAAATTAACATTCAACAAAGCGAGGCCTCAAATGGGTCACCGATTTCAACCAAATATCTTTTGGTGATTTTACATCAAAAAATATTGGTCACACGTCCCAGCCTTAAGTGCCAAAAATATATGTGTATATATATATGTATACACTGACAGGCAAAAAATTCCAACCACTTGATTTTTTCATGTTTTCATCCAAAAATATTTCTGCCACTTGTAAAAAAAGTTGTATTTGTTTATAATACATGGTATTTGTAGATAATACTTAGTATTTATGGAATTTTATAATCTTTTTTACCTTTTGATTGGGTAAGAAAGATTAGAGAAAAAAAATTGAAAAACGAACCATTATTATTCTAAAAGAAATTAATTACATCATCGTTTAGTAGCACGTGTTTCCTCCTCTGGCCTTCACTACTTCTTGAAGATGCCTCGTCATACTTTCCACCAGTCGGGAAATGTCCCTTTGCTGGAGGATAGCCCATTCCTCCCGAAGAGCCCTTTCAAGGTCCTGCAGTGTATTAGGAAGTGTTGCACACACTCTTATTCGTCTTCCGAGGTTATCCCATAAATGTTCAATAGGGTTCAAATCTGAATAACATGCTGGCCAGGCTGAAACCTCAATATTGTTCTGTTGAAGGAACGTCTGCACTATGTGGGTGTGCATTATCGTGAATTAGAAAAGAACGATCGCCGATTTCGTTGAGGATAGGCAACACATGAGGTTCCAAAATCTCATCTACATAGCGAATGGCCGTCAAAGACCCTCCGAAGTCAAACAACCAATTCTGTGCGGCACTCCATTGAAATCCCAGCCCACACCATTAAGGAACCACGTTGGAAAGGTTGGCTCCGGGAAAAATTACAGGTTGCATATCTTTCGTTGTTTTTTCTCCACACCCTTTCACGCCCATCTGGAGATCGAAGAGTGAATCTTGACTCATCTGTAAAAAGTACAGCACTCCATTCGTCCTTAGTCCAATGGCTGTGTTCTCGAGCAAAAGCCAGCCGTGTTACTCTGTGAGTTCTGGTCCTCTTACTGGACGAAAAGCCATTAATCCATACTCATTTAATCTTCTCCGAGTGGTACGTTCAGAAATTTGCACACCTCAAACTTCTTCGAGCTGATGAATCGCTTGAACAACGGTAAGGTGCCGGTTTCGTAAAATTCTCAAAGTCAAAAACTGGTCATCCCGTGGTTCTGTTACCCTAGGCCGTCCAGAACCGGGCCTTCTATTGGAAGAACCAGTTTCCCGAAAACGCCTGACGGCGACTCGTAAAGTTTCATATGGAACTCCAATGGCATTAGCTGCATATCTAATGGAACGTCCATCATCAATAAGTGCCACACCACACGCAATATCCTCAGCACTAAGAGGCATTTTTAAACTTAATATTGAAAAAAATTAAAAGCCGGAGAATAAGAAATGTGTTGCAAGAAACGGCACTGAACTAATGATACTGAATAAACATTTTGATTCCAAAGAAAGTAAACATTAGAATCTAGAATCATTTCATTGAATTAAGGACTAAGGGTTATTGTCCTCTATATTAACATTCCTAATTGAAAACAAACAAAAAGATTACCTATTTATTCATTAAAAACAATAGACCAATCCAAAACAGAAATATTTTTAGATGAAAACATGAAAAACTCAAGTGGGTGGAATTTTTTGCCTGTCAGGGTGTGTGTGTGTATGTATATATATATATATATATATATATATATATATATATATTATATATATATATATATATATATATATATATATATATATATATATATATATAAATAAATAGAAAATCATCTTTATTCTGGGACTAGGTCCCTTTGGAATAACAATATTGTTTAAACCAATTGACAATAAATCTGGCCAGATGACCTGTTATAATAAAGAGTAACTACAATCTAAGTAATAAAATGAGTATATACATAGTTTTGGAGGGTATATTAAAGAAAGCAGATGGGTACAATATTATAATATTGGTACAAAAAATAACAACATACTTATATAACTAAATCAAATTGGAAAGAAATGCTAAATAAGTTTTTAGGTAACCAATTATATATATATATATATATATATATATATATATATATACAATTGGTATTTTTCTTTCTATCACCTATATGTCATTTAATTGTCTTAGCAGTATTGATGTAGTGTTTCAATTCTTCACTGCATTTCATATACTTTTGTTTTATTTTCATTTATTTACTATATATGTTATAGCATTACCCATAATTTTTGCTCTAGGAACTTGTTGAGACCGTGACAATTTACGATAATGAAAGAGATCAAGAAAAAGAAATGACCGTTACGATAAAGTATGCTACGCAAGTTAATGTCTCAATGATATGGGATTATCTGAGGGCTGGGACTTCAACTAATGGTCCGCAGGAGGCAATCCAAGCTCTTGATATTGTTTTAAGGCAACCAGCTGCTAACAGGTAATGTTCTCCTACTTTTCAATTTAAAATAAAAACAAATTTATAATGCTGTTATTGTTTTATTTTCTCTTCATATCTATTTGATAAGCTGCAGATTATCTGTCAGTAATAAGTTTTTTTTTTCCTTAAGTGGTAATTGGCCTTCCTCAACATAGTCTGCCACAGGCCACTGCCCGCTGCATACCTCTAATACTTAGTCCTTCCATTTCATCCTTGTTCGTTTTTTTTTTTTTTTTTTTTTGTGGTTTTAAGCGGCTCAGGAATGGCAGACAAGGTTCATTTACATCCAAACATTCGCCTGTGATGAGGTCGAATTTTATACCCGGCTCCAGGTCTATTATTTTAATCTTTTCCTGTATTCTTATTCTTTCTATAATAATTAGTTAGGTCTTCTCAATATTAATTTTGAGGTTAATCGTTCCCTCTCAATTGGCTGCCTGCTTCTTTCTACAATTATTACATCTTCTGTATTAGCTTCATTGTTTGTTAGGCATTTATAGTTATTGTTTAGGCTTGAATCCTCACTCACCGTTTAACCCTCCAGTATCTCTTCTGGCTTTGAATTGATTTGTAGAAATTTCATTCTTATCAACAAAAAATATATTGATAATGCTGAAAGTAAAATCTAGTCTCCAGTCGAAAATTAAAATCGAGATATAAAAATACTCCGATTTGAAATGTGAGGACAAAGAATTTGATGAGAAAGTTCTATACACCTTATGAAAAATCAATCAGGTGATAGGAAATCACTGATAGACACTCTTTGCAAAACATGTAAGAAAACAACGTTTTTATCAAGGAATCAAATGTTTTTTTTGTTTTTTCAGAAAGAACGTAATCTCCAAAAATATTTTTTTTTTTTTTGTAATATAGAAAAACAGCTTCAACACTAATGTTCAAACACTTGAAAATCTCTAACATTAGTCTAATCGATTTTTTTTTTTTTTAATTCTTTAAATTTTAACAAAAGCATTTGGCATGCTTAATATTGGAAATTATTTTTAAAAAATAAATGCTACTTATAATTCCTGCCTTCCTTTATTCCTTTAATGTTCTGCATTATTTGATTATAATCTTTATTATAATAGTTGATTATAGTCTAAAATTTCATTTTCAATGTTACATTTCAATTCTTTTTTATCTCTCGGTTAACTCAAGATCTGATAAGATTTTGATGTATTAATGTTAAAAATTAACATTATTGATGATTTTACTCATTTTTAGGTGTTTATTATAGGATTGTGCATATTTTGGATTTTTACAGTACGATTTTGCACATTTTGAGTTTTTTACAGAACGTTTTCAGGATTTTTACTGCATGAAAATCCGGTCTCTAGTAATCACCTACTGCTCTTTTATAATAGGATTAAGTCGGTTAGACTGTAGCATGGCAAAGATTTTATACTCAAATCAGCAGAAATTCTTGTTTGAAATGCAAACACCAAATTGTATTTTGAATATCTGTCCTTTAAAAAAAAAAAAATTTGTCAAGTTTGATATAATTTAACAAGGACATCTTCCTTTTAAGTTAATAAAAATTAAATTAATTTATTAATATGTAAAACTACATTTTATTACTTTCGTTTATCAATATATAAATATAAAGTAAGGGAAAGTATTGCTATCATTAAAATTTCGAATCTGAGTTTTCAACCGAAATATACATTTTTTTTTTTATTGATATGTCTCCTTTTAAGAGTAAGCTTCTTAATAGTATATGTTATCAATAAGGCACGACAATGTAAAATAATTAGTTCTTGTAAAATTGTATGTTTTATAATGTAAATATTATTTTCAGGTTTGTGACAGTTGGAAGATCATTCTTTTCACCTCCACCTGGTAGAGTAATTGATCTTGGTTATGGTCTTGACCTTTGGTATGGTTTCTTCCAGTCTGCAATTATTGGTTGGAAACCATTCCTTAACATTGATGGTAATTATTTAATATGTTTAATTAGTATTTTTGTTTTTATTTGTTTATTATTTTAATTGTGGGTTAGTGTAGACTATAGTGAATAATTGAAGAGAAGGATGGTTGGTTTGGTCAGTCAAATTGAAATGGTAAAAAAATAAATAAATTTTATTTATTTAAAATTATTAAAAATAAAATTATTTATTTTTTACCATTTCAATTTGACTGATCACCACAACCATCCTTCTCTTTGTTTATTATTTTAGTTTTATGATGAAATTGCTTGGAGGTTGGAGTTTAAGAAGAAAAAGCCCTGATATGATACCTTCACTATACCTTAATTAAGAAGTAAAAATAATATACTATTCAAAACCATAAGTATATGGGCCGCCTCTCGGTATAGGCAAAAACTCGTCCACTTGCCTTTAAAGCTTCTCTGGCTATGAAATCTCAGATGTATTTTCATGAATAAAGTTCTGATTAACAAAGTAATTGTTAATTACAAAATTAATCTATTACAACAATTTGAAAAAAGTAACAGTTTTTAAAGTTTCAGATTTTTCCTTCCCTCATGCATGCCCAATCATGTTCATTATGGTCTAATGGTCCCACCTATTCTGTGAAACTTTTTGGGAAAAAAGGTTTTAAAATAAAAGTTCTAAGGAACCTTTTTGTAATTAAGTTCTAGGTTTATGGTAAAAGTTAAACATTTATTTATTTAAGTTCTTATAAAAAAGTTTCGTTAAAAGATAATAAAACAGGAATTCGGCTTAGATTAGAGTCATAATTCATCTTAAATGAATTGCTTGATTCTAATATTTCGCTATGTTAAGCAGCTAAGTTAGTACAAGCAATTATTTAAATAGACTTTTCGGTGAAATCAACTGAACTTTTTAATAAAAGTTGTTAAAAACAAAAGTTCTGTTAAACCTTTACTTGAAAAGCTGCAACTAAAAAAGTCTTATTTCCTAATTAACAGAAAGCAATTCAAAATAAAGATTCCTGTCATACCAAAACTGATTAAATTCATTCTGATTCAGCCCTGTAGCTCTATTGTGGTTCATTTTCTCATTCTAATTAAACTAGTTAAGAAATTGTATTCATTCGTAGTCTAGCAAATTCATGCTTAAGGCAGTTATAGGAATCTGATTCCTGTATAATTTATTAAAAGCTGCAGTTTGTTCTTTCCTTTCCACCTCTTAAACATGAGGGCTAATTAAAATCGTCTATGAAAATCTGAATTAAATCCATAATGTTAAATTGAATGATAGAGATGGTAAATATTTACTGAATACTCAATGGTTGACCGTTGTATAATATTGAGGAAGGAGATAACAGATGTTTCTATTTTATTTTAAGTCTGGCTAAATGGAATAAATTGAAAATGTTTTAAAAGAATAACTTTAAGGTAATCTTTGCAAATTTTCGAAACTGTAATTGGCCTTATTTAGGGGAATGACCCATATATAAAAGTGAAAAATAATTTTTAAAATGAGCAATTTATGATCAGTATGGAAGTAAAAAACTTAAAAATTTATAGATATTTATTATTGAAAATAAATACCCATATTGTTAAATCCACCTAAATCTTCGTGAATGGCTTCATCTTATCTTAACCTGCAAATTTTTTATCTTCAAAAATTCTCAGAAATGGGGCATTTTCACGTTAAATTAATCAATTCGTAATAGTGGTTAAATAGTTGACTGTCGTGAATAATGAGAAGAATAGTTGGGGTGATCAGTCAAATAAGAAGGCAAAAATAAATGACAAAATAAATATTATCATTTATTTTTGCCTTCTTATTTGACTGATCATCCCAACTATTCTTCTCCTCTAAATTAATTAATGTAGTGAGGTACTAAAAACTCGTATATACTCTTTTGCTTTCCACTTGAATCGTCTGATAATTTGATGAAAAAATCGAAAAAAAGATGGCCTAGAAAAATATTGGTTTGTTTTGCCTAAATAATCTCGTTATTTTAATATGTAGGGGGTGGAGGTAATGCCAAACAATCCAATACTTTTGTAGGCCACCTTTTTTCTCGATTTCGTGATCAAATCATCTTACTGTTTAAGTGGAAAGCAAATGGTAAGTGTTCATGAGTTTTTTAATACCTAATTAAATAGACGAAGTTTACCAATCTCCAAATTGAAAACGCCCCTGATTCTGAGAATTTTTGCAAATAAAAAAGTTGTAGGTTGCGATGAGATAAAGCTATTCACGACATTTTAGGCAGGATATTAATAATTTTGTATGAAGGGTTCTGTACTACCGACTATAGAAACATGTTCAATCACTTATTAACATTTTTTCATTTAATCTCAACATTAAAATACAAATATTGAGCTTTCAAGGAATCCATTAAGGGAATTAACCCTTGTAAGAAGTGGACTAAGTTCTTCAAGCATTATTATTTATCATGTTACTAGAGTTTATATTGTCTCGATATTTATAACTTTTTCTTATACTGTATAGTATATCATTTCTATTCTTTTTTTTATAGTGGCTCACAAAGGATTCCCAGCTGCCGACAATTGTGTTGTTGCTTTAGGTAAATTTGTTCAAGGAGACCTTGGAGATCCACGTTTTCAAATGAGACCTTATGAACGTGAAAGCTTTGTTGCGTATATTAAGGATTTGAAAGTTGTTTATGAAATTCCATCAAAGAGTGTTAAAAGAACATATAAAGTGACTAATATAACAACTTGTCCAAGAGATAATAGGTTAGTATATTTCTTATTATTATAATAGTAATAAGGATTAGTAAACTGTATGTGTTGATAGTACTACTGTCAACAATAATTACTTACATACACTCACCTCCATCAAAACTTAAAATTATATATCAAACCTAACATAATCGTAAGGCTGGTTTTCTCAGTTAGATTTCTTGAATAAACTCACTTTGGTCTATATAAACCTATTCATTTAAGCAAGTTATGTTAAGTTGCAAGACCAAATTCTTTGAAACACCCTGTGTTGTAGGTAACCATTTCCCTATTTTGCGGTCCTCATTATTACTCATTTTTTAAACATTGATCAAATCAGGAGGAAATGTGTTCAAGTAAATTTTTTTTAAATTTAATATTAGGTGTTGTAGTTTCAATCTAAACTATATATTATATGGCAGTATAGATAGATACCTTTGCCGGCTCTCTAGACCGATGGTTGACTTATCCCAATTTTGATCCTTAAATTCCTACGACAAATTTATTAAAATACATTGAAAGAGTAGGAGTTAAGAACTCCCAAGATTTATAAGTTCATGGATTGATATAAAATGAATTGCTATTTAAAGATTTTGACAGCATTAAGACATGAGGTGCCTTCACAAAATAGTGAGACTTTATTTTAAAGCCCCAAAATGTACCATATTCAAGATAAACCATAATTCATTCTGCAATACTCCTAGGAGATACGAAGTACTGCAAAATGAAAAAGAGGCGATGAAATCTGCACCCATTCCCAGAGACCCTCGACCCCCTCCAATTTTCGTTAAAAATTAAAAAAAATTCCCGTTACTATGAACACATTTAAACAAAACTACAACTCCTGGTAGCTACTCCTGTTTAAGCCGGACTAATGATATTAAAATATCCCCATCCAAAGCTGATGCATACCACCAAATTATTAAATATCTATACAACACAAAAGGCAGATTTTCACACCTACCAATTGAGGCAAGAGCATTCCCTGAGGGTAGTAATCCGGAATTTACACCCCTCTACTCCAGCCGAGGCGATCCAAGAACAACTGATGGCCTTAGGTTTCAAAGTCCGGCAGGTCACCAATGTAATGATGGATGATAGAGATGTATCCGGTGCTAATAGAATAATACCATTACCCATATTTTTCATAGATTTAGAACCCTCAGCAGAAGTTGATAAAATATATGAAATTAGAAGATTATATTATACTAGGTTAAAAAATTATTATGTTAAGGTTAAAAAACCATACACTATAAGAGAAATCGTCCAGTGTCATAATTGCCAGGCATATGACCATACCAAAACTTACTGCCACCACATTCCAAGGTGCGTGAAATGCAGAGAGTCACACAAGACTAGTGAATGTAATAAACTGAAAACTACTCCCGCTGTATGTGCTTTATGCCTGGAATAACATTCCTGCCACCTACAAGGGCTGCCAAGTCTACAAAATCATCAAAAATAAATTTCACAAACCCGGGAACCAAAAAGAAATCTCTAAGCCCAGAAGAGGACCTGCTAAAATAGTAGACTCTAAAGTTTCTTTTTCCCAGTTACTAGAGGGCAGAGCCCCGACTGACAAATGTGAGGCCCTGCCACAACAGGAACCCCAATCCCAACTTCAACATCACATTCCTCATATTCCTCACTGAATTCAAATCCCTTGTTACCCCTTGTTTATTTATGTATGTTAATTTTCTTATTTTATTTTCTACAACTCTTTTTCTTCTATCTCTATTTTAGTTATCATTTGTATGTATATATTGTGTGAATGTTAATGCCCTCTAATGTGGCAGAATGTATTAATTTTCAAATAAAAAACAAATAAATAAATAAATCATGTTTTAAAAAAAAGAGTTCAAGGTTCCTAGGACTCCTTGGATATTCTACATTTATTTTATTTAACTCTGATTTTCAGTTTATATTCTTTAGGAAATTTTTGTTAGGCTATTTTAGCATCTTCATTGTGAACAACTGCAATATTCCATGAGATGTAGATAGTTTTTGATTATTTGGAAAACTTATGAAAAGTCAACTGGTTTTTATCTGAACCAGTTCAGCATCACTTAATCTTTGTTAATTCTTCATCAAATGCAATGATCGATTCATCATTTCGAAGATTATATTCTCCTTCAGGTGTCAAAAATAAGCATATCCTGCAAATAACAAGAAAGCAGAACAGAAAACTTTATTTACTACCTCACTTTATTGTCATCCTAGGCATGAGTAACATCATATATAATTCAAGAGCCTCTCCGCAGCCTCTGGCACTCTGAAATGGGATGGAATGCACTAGATATGTATCATTCATCGAAATGAGAGCATTAGTTTCTTTTTATTCATTTTTCCTAAACATAAATTAATATAAAATATTAAGAAAAATTAAATGCATGGAGATTTTATGCCATTTTAAATTTAGTTCTAATTAACAATAGCTATTCCATTTTAAATATTTCTTTAAAAAATCATTATAAAGTTGTCATTCAGAAGTTTTCTAGATATTTATGTTTAAAAACGTGTTTTGTTCATTCAATTTCCTGCTCCATACGGGTTAATAAAGAAAATGGTACCTAACGAGCATTCTGGTAAACAGGAGGTCCTTTATAATTATAAACACCAGTTTCTGTGCTTAGTTGTTTCCTGTCGACAAACTTAGTGTAACTCACCATCGGATTTAATGTAGGGGCGATGTTTTCATTCTATGTCTTCTCCAAGTCAATATTGACCATTTCTCTCAGAGTTTTCGGTGCAAATCCATCCTTTGAGATCTTGAAATGTAGCATCATCTAACATATCAATCAACCAACCATTTGAGCTTCCATGATTTCTCCTTTCGGGTTTCGAGTAATCGTACTTTGGAAAGGACATGGTGAAATTTCAGATTAAAGACATAAACAAAATAACCTGCCCGGTGCTCGATGCTAACACTTATCACTAATCTTCAAACCCCCCTCCTCCAATCCCATCGTCGCCATTGTTGTATTCTTACTGGGGTTCATCAATAGAATAAAACTATGATCAGGGGTAGAGCACTTCATAACATTTAAAATATTAACATTATTTACACCACATGGTACCTCCATGCTTGCCCAAGTTACACTGGCTGAGAAACCTTCCAGTAATGAATAGGAACTTTTGAAACAGGATTGTGATAGCCTGGAAACCTGCCTCAAAATTTCCTGTTCATTATATGAAGTTTTCTCAGCCAGTGTAGTTTCTTGGACTTCAGTTTTATTTGCTACAATTTGGGTTTCTAGGTTGTCACAATCTTGTTTAAAAATTTTCTGTTCATTACTAGATTTAATTCCCTGCTCCATACAGCTTAATAAAGAAAATGGTGCCTGACGAGCACTCTGGTAAACAGGAGGTCCTTTATAAACTCCAATTTCTGTGCTGTCGACAAACTGAATGTAACTCACCATTGTTCTTTATAATAAAATTTTTAAATGATTATTTTACATTGTTGTATTTTAGTTTCATTAATAAAATATATACTATTCATGTTTATTTGATTTTTTTGTTTATTAACCTTTTTCTCTTTAATTATTCATAAATTTATTCATTTTCATATTGTAGTATAAAGATAATCAATATATATTATTATACTTTGTAGTTCTTTTTTATTTCTACTATTTTCTTTCTTTTTTCAGATTCGAGATTACTGATAAGGAAACCAATAACAAAAGTGAAACTACTGTTGAAAGATATTTTGTTAGTCAATATAATATTAGATTAAAGTATCCTCATCTACCATGTCTTACTGTTGGCTCACGAGAGAAGCCTTTGGCGCTTCCTATGGAGGTAATATTTTTAATTTATGAATATATATTTTATTTTATATGTATAATTAAATTATACAATACAATCTATAAAACTAATAACTAAATATTAAGACTGTTATATCTTTTCCAAAATTGAATACTTGGTGTATATAATTGAACTAAGCCACGACAAATTAGATGAATATTCTCAGAACTCATTGGCTCCCTGCTATCCTTTACAGGGAATGTGTCTAATGCAGAAGTCATTTATACTGCAAAATTATTGAAATCTGGTGGGGATTATAAAATTGTCCACTACGGGAATTTTCAATGAGTATACTTATACATATACACACACACATACATACATGTGTGTGTGTGTTTATGACTCTTTATTACCTTCTTATGTGTATTATATGCCATCTTTTAGTGTCTTTTGTTGTATATATATAAATCTGGGCCTCACAGATAAACAACTGTTTCTAATATAGAAATGTTTTCTTGTTTCTTAAGTTGTGTACAATTGTTGCGGGCCAAGTTACAATGAAGAAAATGAATGATGCTCAAACTCGTACAATGGTAAAAGAGGCTGCAGTTGATACAGAAAGAAGAAAAGAAAAAATTGTCAAGTCTGTAAGTACGATTGAAACATGGATTGTAACAATGTTTTAACTATTGGGACTTTTATCTGTGTAATCCTCTGGTTATAGTTTAGTTTAACTTAATCAATACTTACAGAAAAAGCATGTGTGTAAATATATTTAAAAATTACTTAGTTTTTTATATTTTATTATATAATATATATAGCCATAGTATTAAAGAATTATTTACCCTTTTACATGATCCATTGGTTATAGTTTTATATTCCTTCTATTGAAATAGAAGCATTGACAGATTGAAGCATTTTTAATTATTTGAATGTTGGGAAATCTACGTAGAATTTTGAGTAGATAACATGTTCGTAAAATAGCCATTGAGAATTTATATTAGAATAAATCAATTCTCCCATCAAATGAAAGTAATAAAACGAACTTATACTACATTAATTTGGTAAATAAATTTAAAAATGAATTATTACAATGGCATAATTAATCAAACAAAAGAAAATTTTACCTCATAATCAGTGCACAGCTGAAACTTCAGGAATTGTCACACAAACTGGTAGTCTTAACCACAGTTCACAGTCCAACTTTTAATGGATTATTGCCATTCTGGGACTGTCTGTTACACATTAGAATTGGTTTCTTTAATTTTGTTTTTCATTTGTTCCATTTATATATAGTGTGTTGGATGATGGCTCATTTTATAAGCTGTTTTTTGTTTTATTTGTTTCAATTTTAATTTGCCAATCCATTTGTCTGGATTTTGGTGCTATTATTTACTTATCTATTAAATTTAAAATCTTTGAGAACCTCGAATTTTTTCATTCTCTAATGCTGGACATCATGATTGGGATAAAATACAAAGACTGGTTCTAATTTTATAATAGAAAGAAGTTAAGTTAATTAAAATTGCGACAAAAACAAAATTTTGAATTGTATTAAATATATATATATATATATATATATACATAAAAGCAATAAGGCAATTAAAAGAGCTGAAGCTTCTATTTAATTATAGAGAAAATCAAGTGCTGTTTATTATTTATTTATTTATTTACTAGTATTTTATTTATCTTCTGTCAGATTTAAATAAGCTTTACTTTTTTAATATTATAAATTAGATAAAAACAATGATTTTTGCAAGCTTAAGTTTAATACATCCAAATTTTATACATTTTGGGTTATTACTAACCTGTTTTGTATATTTTAAGTTTTGTACTGCTGTTTTTTTTTTTATATTACTGCACAAAAATCTGGTTAAAACAAAAAGGTGAAGTGTTTGCAGTGAGTTTTCTTTAATATGGAGGAAAAGTCAGAGAATCTGACTGATAAACTCTCGTAGACCCTCTAAATTTTTGTACCTAATATTGTGTTTTTCATTTTTTTAGATCTTACATCTCTTTATAGTCAAAACTATAAAATTTATACTTACACTTGTGAGCTCAACCGTCAATATAATGGTTTTTACAAGGTTTAAAATGAAAAGTGAACCTTTATTTTTTATCAGTTTCGATATGAATGGAATTTTTATTTTCTGTTGTTTTCCATGTTCGTTAGGAACTAGTAATTTTTTCCATGGAAATTTTTAATGAAAGTTCTGTCAAAGCAGTTCATTTCGTCAAAAAGTAAATGTAAATGGTAATATCACGGTATATTATTTGTTATTCAAATAAAAGAAATATTAGAATCAGACTGTTAATTTCTCATTTAATGTTACTTTCTTTTAAGAAAATTAATTATTAAAATTTAAAGTATTATAAAAAAAAAATCATAATTTCTTTATAAACAATTTTCAAACCCTGAATGATTAGAGAATTATTGCTGATAATTTAATTTTATTTGTTGTGTTTTCTTCTAGATAAGACAAATCAACTTTAATAGTGACCCATGCCTGAAGGAGTTTGGCCTCTCAGTTGATGACCAGTTCACTAAAGTTAAGGCCCGAATTATGAATGCACCAACACTTGATTATCGAGAAAGACCGGTCTGTTTATTATTTATTTATTATCTAGTATTTTTATTATATGTAGTAATGTATTGACAATTAGTACTTCATTTGTTGTCATAATAAATTTATTATAATTTGAGTTAGATAGTCAATTAGATTTAGAATTAAAATTTAAACCCTCTCATTTGATAGTGTTTAAAATGTGTGAAAATTCCAGCAATTTTTTCCTTGAAATATTTGTCCAATAGAAAACTCCTGAAACTAGTCTGGCAATTTCTTTTTTGTTCTTTCTGTAGATGACGGTTTAGTTATTTATTTTTTTATAATTCTCTCCTGCCTTTCTGCAATACAGATTTTTGGAAGAAGTAGCGTGCCTCTTCTTTCATTTCATCTCATAATTCTAATCTGCTAATACTATTTCTTTTTATTAAAGGAATTTTAAACAATTTCCTCCCAATTAGTTCCTTCCACCCATAAATGAGAAATTTGTCATAATGGTAATTCTGCTAATCAACTAGGCTGTATGGCTTAGAGTCCAGTTTCCTTCATTAGTTTGGCTTATTGTCTCCGATGTGGCACAGGTCTTGATGACATGGCCAGTAGGTTCCAGAACACCATGACAGAGTTAATGGGTGTTATGCTCTTTTCTAAGGTATGAAGCTTAGTGTGAAATCTCCCTCTGAGGAATTGTGACATCCAACAATCCATGTTCTAGTATTTCCCACTCATTTCTTACTGTAGTTCTGAAATATATATTATTTATTCTTCTTCCTTATCTTTCTCCTTTATGCTTTCAACGTTGAGGTGTCTCAGTCCATGTTAGCCAGGCTTCGTGATCCTGAACCAGTGGCTTCTTGGCATTTAACCCTTTCCCTCTTTTCTGTCCCATCCTGGCGTTGTGGTATATCAATGTCATCCTTGTTCTTCCTCGAGGACGTCTTCCAATTGGCCTGTCTTCGAAGAACTTCGTTGACTCTCGGTCTTCATGCATTTGACACAAAAGCCCGTACCATTTCAGCTGTCTCTTTTCAATTATGTTTCACAGCTGAAATTCCAAGGTCCTGTAATTTTTTTCATTTCGAACCTGATCTCTTCTTGTTCGGCTGGCCGTTCTTCAGAGGTACTTCATCTCCCCAGCTTGAATTCTAATTTAGTGCCTGTCTAGTAGGACCCAGCTTTCACTTCCATGGAGAAGAGTATCGGTCTCATGACCTTATTTTATCAAGATAAATAGAGTTTGGCTATTGTTTTTTTATTTTTGTAAACATCTTTGAAATTTTCTGCCCATTTCCTTAAAACGATATATAGGGAGATAAACTGCCTTAAAAATATCTAATTTTACATTATTCTCCACTTTTCTCAACTGCAGTATAGCATAGGTGGTAATAGCATTATTTGCTTTCTTAATTCTATTAGAAAGCTCTTGATCCATCTTAGCATTTCTGCTGTTCATCGTCCCAAGGTCTGTGTATTCCTCTGCCAATTCTCCCTTGCAGTGAATAAGTACTTACTTATAAGTACATTACTTTCCTCTTGGCCAGTATGTATCATCTTATATTCACTGTCATTTAGTACCATTTCCTTCCTTTCAAGCTCTGCTTCCCACTCGATGACCCCTTTCTGTAAATGCTCATTTGTGTCAGCAATGAGAACAATATCATCTACAAATATCAGAACTTAAGCAAGAATTGTTCTCATATTCCACATACCAACTACAGTCCGTGTATTCCTCCCTTTTCATATTTTTAGAATTTCATCCATAAACATGATAAAAAGAAGAAAGTTAAGACTGTACCCTTGTTTAACTCCTTATTGCTAATATTAGAGGGTCTGGATTCCCTTCCTTTAATCCAAATAATGCTCTATAAGTTTTGATAAGTGGATTTTATGGCACCAATCAACTTAGGGAGAGGGGCATCCATTTCATCCAGAGTAGCCCATATTTCTTGCCTTGGGATGGAATCAAAAACAGTTCTTATATCCCAAAATGCAAGGTACTTGCAGATAATGAACCTTAAAGTAACCCAGCCACCTAATTAGTAATGTGATGGTATATGGTATATAGGCGCTTGAGAACTGTTCGTGGAAGACTGATTTTGATGACACCAGGTCGTTGGTTTTATAAACTTAGCAATAGGTTTATAATTGTTTTCTAGTGGTAAATTTTGAGTTATTCAATTTTGAACAGATCTGGTGTCCACGCTTCATTACAAATTCTCAGTGCTGAATTATCTTTCTCCTATTTTGGTTTTTGGCCATTAATCCCTAACTAACTAGAATAATAATCTCTTGGTTGTATGATGGAAATACCTGGTGTCAGACACTGGTCTCCTGCAGCTTCCACCAGTTCTCTCGGTCTTGTACTACTACAATCAATCTAGCTTCTAACCCCAAGGATCTTCATACCATCATTTGCCACCCATCAGTCCACCTTAGCTTTGTTCTGAATAGGAGCTCGGCTGACAGCAGCCACTGAGGTATCTCTGTATTGCCCACTTTGGATGTATGACCTTAGTTATCCTATTTTCATGACCAACAACACATCTTTGTTTTGGTAAAAGTGGTAGAGGTCTTGATTTGATCATCTGTACCGAAACTTCGTGCCGAAACAAGTGCTTCAGATATCCGACTGAGATTCTTCCTCTTGTATGTTTACAGTTCCTGTTCACTAATCTTTGACATAGTCCACATTTCTAATTCCATTTAAATGTATATTTCTTAAGTATTCTACACTATTTTTCTGTCCACCAAGTCTTATTGTTTTCTTATCATAGGTACCTGTAAGACAAGGAGTATGGAGGAATGAAAAATTCATTCAAGGAGCCGATTTGGTTCAGTGGAGAATCGTTACTACTAATCAGATGATTAGAGAACCAGATTTAAGGTAATTATTAACACATTATTATTCAATCTAGTTTTATTATTTCGGAGAATAGTATGGAAGCTAATTCATCACAAAAATTGTTTAATGTAATTAATTATTGCTTAAAATAAATTATAATGTTTATAATTACTTAATCCAGTTTTATTATTGTGAGGAATACCTTCAATAACCCTTTTTTACTTCATAAAAACTTTATTTCATGTTTGTGTTTGAAAATGTTTTAGGTAATTTTGTACATTTTCAATTCAAGAATGACATAAATGATTATGCAATCTGCTAAAAATGAAAAAATGTTTTTTAATTTAAAATACATTTCAAACCACAAAAATTTCTACATTGGAAATTAAGCATTTTTAGAAAAAAAGACAATGTATTTAGCATTTGAATAGTTTTTACATTATTTTTGGACTATCCTCAGATTTTTTAACTTTGAATAAATGTTCGGATTTTGAAATACAATACTTTAAATTAAAAAAAAAATGTTTTTAAGATAAAATAACAATTTTTAGTGGATTTCATAATCATTTATATTATTCTTGACTTGAAAATGAGCGACATTGTCCAAAACATAAAATACAAAAATGAAATAAAGTTTTTATGAAATTAAAAGGGGTTATTAAAGGTATTCCTTAAAATAACAAAACTAGATTAAGTAATTATTAACATTATAGTTTATTTTAATCAATAATTAATTATATATTATAATTTTTGTAATGTGTACCTATGTATACTTGCATGCATGCTAGCTTATTATTAAATAGAATTGGTTGGTCACTATTAATTTTTTTTTCTTATTCCAGAAAGCTAGCATCGGGTTTAATAAATCATGGAATGGAATGTGGCATGAATATATCCAATAATTATAAAATTGTTTCCAAGAATACTCCTCGTGAACTTGAACAATATTTTAGTCAGTGTCTTAAAGAAGAAGTAAAACTTGTGATTGTTGTCTTACCTGATAGAGGAATGACTTATGGTAAGTTTTTATTTATATCATTGTGAACTGCAAATATTAACTGATGAAAACCTAATGCTTAATTTTTTTTCATTTTCAGCATCCATTAAGAAAATTGCTGAAATTCAGGTTGGTATTCTAACTCAGTGCTTGAAGACTGTCACAGTGCAGAGAAGACTTAATGCTGCAACATTTGTAAACATACTACAGAAAGTTAATGCAAAGTTGAATGGCATCAATCACCATATAACCCACAGCTATTGGTATTATATGTTTTTAATTGTTATTATTAGTATCTATATAGGCGAGTGAAACTTATATTTATTTCATGGCACAAAACAAAGTAATTAATAGAATAAAAACTGAACAGCCTATAGACATTTTTTCTAACTTTCACTGAATTCTTCATCAAGTTATTTAAAAAAAAAAACAAAAAAAAAAACAATATTGATATTTTTAAAAAATAGCAAATTAAACAAGAGAATTCATATTTTAAAAAAAGTGTTGATACATTTTCTTATGAATAGTAAACATTTAGTTTTGTTTTATGAATCTGTGGATACTGAAAAGATATCAACAATCAATAGTTCCTTCATGAATCAATGGTTAATTTATAAAATTAGCACTGGTTGGAGAATAACTTGATATCTTCACAAATTGATTAGTGGAACCAATAAATACAAACCATTATCAGAATATATAAAAATATATTTATTTTTAGATTTTTATTAGTTTTAAACTATCATTTTAGGTGTTTATAACTTATTTGGTTTAATTATTTTTTTTATTTCCAATGTTTCGAATTCTGGAGCCATTTTCAGGTACAAACTGTAAAGATACATTTATGTCAATACAATATTTAAATTTTAATACATCATTTCGTAACTTACCTGTAGACACATATGTATAAATATAATATCATCTTACATTATTTTAATATATGTAATATAACTTTTATAAACTAAAATCGGTATATAATATAATCTAGAAACCGAAACATTGGTAATAATAAAAAGAATATTTGTGAACGTTATTAAAAAATTTCTTGAACTAATAATGTGGCTCAGAAAATAAATAAAGTTGCTTTAAAGTAATATTAATGTTGTTTTTAAGGCCAAAATTTTTTCAAAAACCTGTCATTGTTGTTGGCGCTGATGTCACTCATCCAGCTCCAGACCAGATCAACGTTCCATCTATAGCAGCCGTAAGTTTGGTTTTCTCTTTCTAATTTGGTTTTATTGTAAATGTAATGTATCTATTATTTATAAATATTTTATTCTTATTTAGTAATAGAATTTCGTATACAATTAGTGTTTTAATTGTTTTATCTCCAGTTGTATCATTTACACTCAGCTGCCAAAAAATTGTAGCAACTTGTTTGATTTAATTTTTTTCAGAATTTGGTTGATTAGACAGATCAATGTATTAGTGTGATTGACTCAAAACTGGTAAAAAGATGGAATGATTTACAACCTACCTAATTTTAAAGGTACTATTTCACTGGTCTTGCTCAGGATCAATATGATCTATCATGCAGGAGCAGTTTGTGTATTTCACTGAAACTGCTCATCATAGTAGGCAACTCTTCTTGCATTGAGCATTTTCTGAATCCTAGTTTATAATAATTTTAAATGGAAATATTAGCTTTAAAGTTAATGGTTTTCATTTGTATCAAAAGAGCACGAATATATACAATAGTAGCTTTGATCTTATTTAATCGATACTTACTATTTTCCCTTTTATTAAGTTGTGTGTTTGATGCATCAGGCCTTCCCTACTTCCATAGCAAGGGAAAATAAGACCTGAACGCTGAAATGGATGAGAAGGGAGGGTATTCACATGGATATAGAGAATGAATCAAATAAAATTAAGATGAATATATTGTTAATAAAATAGAAATGAAATAAAAAAGACATTATTGCTGTTGATAGGGGGCACCAAATTATTTACATTGAGGTTAATGTGATTGTAGGAATTTAATTTTGCTTCATGGGCTGATGATGATGAGTGCATGGTGCAGTTGTATGCATCTTAGAATTTCCCACCAAGATTTACAAAAAAGTTTATATAAAAAATGGCTGTTATAAAGGGTGTCCCATAAGTAGAGGGAAATTTTTGTAACAGTGATAGCTGACTTCAAGATCTACAAAATAGTTTATATAAACTTCCCAACAGAAAAGTAGAAAATTCAAGATTTGTGATTTTTTAAATGAGTCATGTTTTTTGTTGAATAGAACAGCTGAACTCAGCTAAGTTCTGTTTACAAAAAAAGAAAAATTATTTGTGATTTTTATTATCACTCTCAAACTATACTACAGATACTCTACTTTTGGAAAAACTTCCTTGTTTAGTAATCCTTAAATCCAATTTAATTGAGTTGCGGTTTATTATGGAAAATTTTGAGATTCACCTCAAGTTGTGTAAAACAATTACCGTAAAATGGAGTAACTTCGGGACTCAGTGGGTAACTTTAGGACAGCTGAGTAAAATTTAGTTTGTGGTGATTCTGTTGTGGATGGATATTCTGTGTTGGGTCAGTATGAAAAAACGTGCTTTGTGTAAGTATGCACTAAGCTACTTACTACCTTGCGGCAGTTTGAGAACCCTAGTTCTCTACACTTGTTGTGCAGTTAGGTTTTATTTATTTTCATTGCTTTTGTCAAAATTTTTGTTTTCATGAAACGTTGGCTTGTGCCTCAAGAGTAGTGTGCCGCAAGGTAGTAGCGCAGTGCATGCTGACTGAACCAACACAGTGTATCTACCATGGAATCTCCTCAAACTAAATTCTATCCACTGTCCCAAAGTTCCCCATCTTACTGTATGTGATTTGATATCCTGTCACCTAAAAGTAACCATGTTTTCAACAAAAATGTCTCCATTAAACTATTGAAAAGTTTGATTTCCTTTCTTTTCTTTCATTATCTGGAATGTATTATAATAAATATAAATACATAAGTCCACTTTTTATTTATTAAAAAACAAGGTTTTTTTTTTTTTTTTTTAAATTTCTTTTAAAAAACATTTACAACTGTATTACATAAATACATCAAGTAAATTAAAAAAAAAAAATGTTAAAATTAATATATTTTTAAATATTTATTATCTAAAGTGATAATGTAATTGTGTTTTTTACCTAAATATCTATTATAGAATTGTTCCATATTTAAAGTGACCCGCTAAATGTTTCCAATTCTAATATTTATGTTTTAAGATAAAAAAAAACTTGACGATTGCTTTTCAATTATTTTCACGAAAACGTAAATATTAAGATTAGGTGGGCACTTAGAAATACGAATCAATATCTATAATATAGATCTTGGTTTAAAACAGTTTCATTATCACTTAAGATGATATATTCAAAAAACAATTTGTTTAAGTAAATAAAAAGTATACTTATGCATTATAGATCCCAGATCATGGAAAAAAAAAGAAATTTAAGCTTTTCAATAGTTTACTGTAGTCATTTTTGCTGAGAATATGACTACTTTTAGGTGACAGGATATCAAATCACATAATTTTTTTACACAACTTGAGGTGAATCTCAAAATTTTCCCTAACAAACCTCAACTTAATTAAAATGGATTTAAAGCTTATCAAACGAGGAAATTTTTCTATAAGTTGGATATCTGTGGTTTAGATTTAGGGTGATAAAAAAAAAATCGCAAATAATTTATGATTATTTTTAAACCGAACTTATCTGAGTTCAGCCATTCAATATCCCTCTTTCAACAATAACAAACTCTACTTTCAATACAAGTAAATTATATCTAGTTTATTGTGGAGCAATTTTTAATTACTTAAATTAAATATTTTTGTAGTTATCACTTTATATTAAATAAAAAATTAGACCCTTTAAAAATCACTAATCTTGATTTTTCTAATTTTCTGCTGGGAGTTGGGCCATTGTTTGTGTGAACTTTTTTGTATCTCTTGAGGTCTGCTATCCCTCTTATAAAAATTTCTCTCTACTTACGGGACATCCTATATATATGGGTAGATTAGTGATGACATGCAGCTGCATCTTCCTGGGCCACTGTTTTATGTTGGTCTAGCTAGACATCATTTTATTGTATGCTGGCTGTTTCAGGCTGACTTGTACTTCGACCACCTATCTCCTAGGTCCCTCAGGTAGGAAATTGTTGTTCTTCACCAATAGATGGCAGTGCTCGGACAGCCAATAGAGGGCACTACCGTCATGCTCTATTTGACATGCTTATAATTATTGCTTAACGTGCTCTTAACATTATGTCTGTGCTTTAAAATGTTAATCCTTTTGTATATATTAATGGCCACCTTCTTCAAAGTAATAGTTTCTTGTAATAGAATATATCATCCTCATGATAAGATATATGACAATACATTATTTTAAGGATTGATGGTGTTTCTCTGATTTTAAATTTACTGCTATTACAGTATGAGAATTTGATTTGTCAATGTTTGGATTTGACTATTTATTTGGGATTAAAATTATTTCCATTATTTAATGTTAGTTTGATTAAGGGTGCATTTTAATCTAGCTATAAAATACATTTGTTACTTCGATCCAACAAAAGTGATGTGCTATAGCTTCGTTTAAATTTTAAACAATTTTCCATTTAACTAGTATACCCTTGTGAGCATTCTCACATTAGATAGTTATCTTTCTTCCTAATGCATTCAGTGTATAAGCGACATCAGCGAAACATATTTATTTGTATATACCACATGCCTCGATGAGTTCTCCACATGGACCCCCATTAGGTTTTTCATGATGTTCATTAATCTAGCACTAGAATTAATATTTCATCATTTATGTTACAAAAATTTGAAAATTAATAGAATTGAAGTAGAATATATGCGTGTTATTTCCATTTATTTGTGAATAAAAATAGTAACAGTAAATTATAAAAATTATTATGGCCTCCTTTATAACTGCCTAACCTGTGGCCTCTATTGGTAAAAAGATTCCCCATCTGTGTTATGTACCTTAAATGGGTAGCTGCGACCTCCAAACGTTTTTGCACGATATTTATTAATGTAGTGCTAGAATTAATTATTTAAGTAATGACAATTTGGAAATTAACATAATTAAGTTGTATGTATGTATGTGGGTGTGAGTATTTAGTGATAAATAAAAATAGATATGGTAAAATATAAAGAATTATTGCAGCCTCCATTAGCACTGCCTTACCTTACCGCGGCCCCTAGTTTCTCCACCTTAGTTTCTTAATGGTGAATACTATATAATCTTGTGAATATAGTCTATTCAACACACACAATCGATTAAGCTCCATGCTTTAAACTATATTGAAGTAACAGTTTACTTTATAAATTATTAGCTTACTCTACAGGAAAATATCTCTTCACTTAAACAATATATTTTTTTCATTACTGCAGGGGAAAATAACCTTTAAAATGAACCCTAAATTATTGAATTTAATGAATGATTTAAAAAACAATTTATTCCATTTTGTTCTATTGACTTTTGAAACCTCCTGGTTTTTTTCCATGACTTTTATTGCTATTATTGTAATGTTTTTAGTTTTGAAATAATAATTCCTCATTTCTCCATGAAATTTCCTTTCTTTTGTTATTAAAATACATCACTCATTAGAGCCGAAAAGGGATCTATACTACTGTACTATATATAGAGCAGATTTTGTTTGACTTGATGAAAAAAAAAAAATGAAACAAAACATAGATAGCAATGGGACTCTTATCATCAAAACTCTTCTACCATATGATAACTTAACCTAGAACTATTGCATTGCTTCTGAAGCTGTCAGAAAGAAACAGAATGTATAAGAGGTCAGACGTACACTGCCGAGCAGCGCCAACGAAATATGCTCCTTTCTATTCCACCAAAGTAGTCGTCAACTGCCAGCTATTATGAAATAGTACCTTAATAATATATTTTCTACGTACAGTTTTCTGAACTCTTAATGTTCCAACCAGAGGACTTACAGTCGCTATCATAGAAAAAATGTTATCACCCAGTTAAAATTTTATTTTATTTACAAGATTGCTATTGTAATATCTCCAGATATTTCTTTGCCAGTTATAAAATGATATTCTAAAACCAATTGCACCATTAAGCGGTCACATTGTTTGTTTGTTTTTTTCTCCTTCCAGTTTCTTTCTTACACTCTATATTGCTTTTTTTTTTTTGTTAAACTATGACCACCGTTGGTTGGTGGTACCCTATCTATCCTCGTTACTAATTTCCTTGAAAATCCCTTTACTTCGTTTAACTTCACAACTTTAATGGTTTTTTATGAGGATGGCTTTTGATACAGGTCATAATTATAGCTTTTATCTTGGCATTAGTATTAGTTAAAACTGAACCGAGAAACATTTTTAAAGTTTTAATAAGCAAAGAAAAACAAAAACACTCAATGGAATAAACATTATTAGCAAGCATAAGAATCAAAGAAATATCTGATGAATTTCTATGACAGCGATTGTATTTATATGTAGTTACTTGTACTAAGCCAGTCAGATAGTTAGCCTGAAAAAAAAAAATCTTGTATCAAACATCTAAACATAACTTGATTATTTTCTCATGAAGTAAACTTAAATTGTACCATGTACGCATCCAGTTCGAACTTGCATAACATAGTTTTTTTCAAAACAACATATTCACTTCATTACTTATTAATTAATCATATATGTGTTTAAATATTAGTTTTGTACTTATATTGTATTTTACGAATTCATCTACTGCTTAGGTTGCAGCTTCTCACGACCCAAAAGCCTTCAGGTATAATATGATATGGAAACTGCAGCCACCTCGAGAAGAAGTAATCAGGGACCTTGAGAGTATCATGAAAGAACAATTATTGGCATTTTACAGAAGCACTAGGTATAAGCCTCAAGCTATCCTCTTTTACAGAGATGGTGTGTCAGAAGGACAGTTTAAAATGGTAAGTAATTCTAAAAAGATTTTCTTTTCTTTCTCTTAGCATAGCAAAATACTTCTATAGAAAAGTTTATTTCCCATTCAATAAAATAAAAGTAGGCGTTCACTACAACAATTTAAAGTCATTAACTATTTATTTTTCTTAAATCTTTAGCTATCTAACCTCTCTTATTTCTAGAAATTTGTTTTCAACTTGTGAAAATATTCCTTCCATTTTCTTTTTTAGTTAATTATCTATTCTTCCAAATTTTATTTTTATTTATTTTATATTATTACTAACAATGAGAGGCCTTTAATTATTTGTAATAAACAAAATTAAATGAAAAAAAAAATTGAAAATATGCCAAGTCCTGTTGGTCTATTTCATTGAGATTAATGCCTACTTAAAGAAACATAAAAGATGAATGAAACCATTACCCAGCAGCTTCAGACCTTCATCAATTATTGCTTGCGAGGAATCCTGGGAATTTGGTGGCCTGAGTTGAATACTACTAAACAGCTTCCTATCCACCTTTAAATATGAAAAAAGAAATGGAAATGAATTGGACACACTTAAATGGAAGCAAATAGTGCCGTTGAAAGATATGCTCTTCAATGGAATCCCCAAGGAACCAGAAGACGAGGAAGGCCAAGAGAAACATGGTGGAGATCTGCACAAAATGGCCTGAGTTGGTCTGACAAGACTTGGCCAGTAGCAAAAATAATTATTATAACATGAACAGAATGGAACCGATTTGTAGATGCCCTATGCTCCACCAGGAGTCAACGGTGTTAATAAAAAAATGGCTAATTGACATTAAAAACCATTTAATTTAATATCACTATGGCAAGCTTAATTAGAATGACTAGGACCGGTTTGGTATAAAATTGATGATATAAATTACAATTTCTGGATAGATGATTTTGACAAAAGTTTTGACATTCTGCGGCCATAATTTTCAAATGTATTACTTCAATTCATACAACTTTCCATTTTTAGCTAAACTGTTCATTTTCATACAGACATTTATATGACACGTTATCATTTGAGCTCAAGAGACCTAAAAACATGAATTTTTTTAAAACTCAGATTAAAATGTTTTCATGATCACGATACTATTGGGTTGTCTGAAAAATAATGTAGGATTTTGAGTTTGCTTTAAAATACCTCTCTATGTAACAAACAGTTTACGTTTATTGGATTATTCGTTTGTATGAATGTAAACACTTATTAATTCTCTTCCAAACTATAATGTTTGTTTACCTCTGTAACATTTCTCTGCTAAGAAACAATTCAATCTTTAATAAGATGTCAACGTGTGATTTTCGAATAATTTTGTTTTACGTCTTTAAACTCGGCCAGAGTGGGGTCCAGACAATCAGAAATATTAATCAAGTCTGGGACGAGAGCAGCATTAATGAGTACACTGTTCAACAGTGGTTCAAAAAATTTGAGGAAGGACTTACTCTCTTGACGATCATGTTCTGTGGGATTTAATGGAAGAAAACCCCAGAACAACTGATCAAGAACTTGCAGGAAAACTTAACCTTAGCAAATCGACTGTCGGTGACTACTCCAAGGCGATTAGAAAGGTAAAAAAGTTGAATGTTGGGTTCCACATACATTAAACAACTGCCAAAAAACCAGTATTATGAAGTTTGTATTACACTTCTTTGCTAAAACAAAAATGATCCTTTTCTGTCCAGAATTGTTACTTGTGATGAAAAGTTGATCTTTTACAAAAGCAGTAGACGTTCTGGACAGTGGCTCGACAAAGGAGAAGCAGCAGAACATTTTCTAATGCCCCCAACTCATCAAAAAATGATGGTGATTACTGTTTGGTGGGCTTCATTTGGTTAGATACACTGCAGCTTCTTAAATCCTGGAGAAGCGATGAATGCCGAATCATATTATTACCAAATTAATGTAATGTATCAAAAATTGGCAATAATGAAGTCATCTTTGGTCATTCGGAGAGGGTCCATTTTGTTGCATGACAACGCCTAGCCACGAGTGACATCACAAAAACTGTTGGAGCTTGGATATGAAACTCTGTCACATCTATCCTACTCTCCGGACCTCTAGCCTGTGGATTACCAATTTTTTAGATATCTGGACCACTACTTATGTGACAACAAATTTAATGGACAAAGGTAATTAGAAAATGCGTTGTTTTTTTGGAGTTCATCAATTCTAAAGATGGGAAATTCTATTTCGAGAGACTGGAAAAGTTGCCAACAGAAATGTATTGATAGTAGTGGAGACTATTATTGATTAAATAAAGCCGGACAACCCAATGTATATCTCATATATGGATAATTGAAAGTAAAAATGTTTTAATTTACAGAGTATTGTAAATTTTTACTAACTTTTATGGTAAGGAAAAGTATTGTGGTAGTGAAAAATTTTAAATATGAGTTATTGTAAGGAAACACACATTTTGAGGTCCCTTGAATGACAAGGCAATGGAGAGTGACAAAAAATTATGAATGATAATTTATGAAAACTAATATTATTTAACAGAAACCAAATGTCTTCATGGAAACTAATTGAAATTTACAAACTAAAATGCAACTTTTCCAATTATTTTAAATTTTGATAAACTAAAAATATGAATATTAGTTGCTATCCAAAATATTTCATAGTCCAAAATAAGCATAGTTTGATAAAACATTTGATAATAGCTTTAGCAATGGTAATAGGCTTAAATTTGAAATAATAGACAGGTTAGTGAAAGTTTTGTGATACACGTAATTTTTGTTAATGTTATTTTATTTATTATTTCTACAGATCTTGAACCAAGAATTGCAGGCTATCAGAAGGGCTTGTTCAAGCCTCAGCAGTGATTACACGCCACCGATTACATTTATAGTGGTACAGAAACGCCATCACACTAGGTTCTTTCCGGAAAAGAAGGATGCAGATGGTTAGTATCAAAATGTGATTAATATTATTTATGTGTTATATTTATTTAATGTTTTATCATTACCATTGATAACCATATGAGCTTCATCTGCCTTGGAGAATCCCTTACGATATGCAGCATACTTTCCTAATGTTTTCTTCTGGGTTAAAATTAGAAATTCTTTCTAGCAGCTACAAACAGGATATTCTGACCCCAAGATCCATCCATATAATGACTGATATAAATGAATAAATATTAATCTGCCACAGATGGACTCACAGCTTGCAACTTTGAGCATAGGAGCCCAGTTCCTTACTCACTCAGCTATCCCACTCTTTTTATTATATAGATATATATACAGGTACATATAAATCAATATTATTTTTAATTGATTATGCCGATGATTTCACAATGGTAGAAAGTCCTGCACTATTATCAATGCAAAAAAGTGAAATATGTAGAAAAGTAATAACAGGTGCAATTAATTGAACTGAGTTAAAGAAATTTAACCTCAATAAGTAAAGATTTTGATTGCGGTCTGGCCAGATAAATGGTAGGCCTTTTGATGACCTTTGCAATTTTAGGGGTGTCTGTTGCTATTTTAATTTAATTTTTATATATACATCTTTTATTTTTATTTTTAATTCTAATTAATCGATTCCTCTGCTCAAAATTTTGTCTTGAATTATATTTTCCTGATGCTATGGAATAAAATTAAATAAATCAATTGATACAATGTTATATTTAAATTCAGGAGTGTTTTTGTATACATTTCATTACCATTCAGACTTTTGTTTCGAAATGGCAGCCGAAAAACATGAGCCGCAATAGATTGTAGTGCCAAAATAGCTGTAATGATTTTATGAGACTTAGCTAAAATCTTCTCCTTGAAGCTCTTCTAATTTATATATATATACAACATACTTCCCTGAAAAGAGGCTGAACAAAAATTAACGATAGATTAAGAATTTTATTCACAAATAACCAAAAAAGTATACAATTTTTGAAGGAGGTGGTCCGGGGTTGTTCATCATAAATAGACCAAATAGTGGCAAAACTATTTAACCTATTTATGACCACCACCCTGGACCATCTCCTTCCACAATAATACAACGGTCAATTATTAAGTATTCAATATACAATTTTTGGTTCCTATGAGTATTTTGAAGCTTCTTGAATGCTCTACAAAGTAAAGGAAAAAAATCATCAAAATCGAAAAGGCACGATGTCTGATAATGTATTTTTTATTGCCTTATGTTCAGTTAGTACTTTATAGAAGAGCTCTTTTATAATAAACTTACATTTAGCCTATTGCTATAGTATAAGTACAATGTTGAAATGAAGCAAGTTGTACCGACTGAGGGAGCAAAGTGGGTTAAAACATTTTTTTTTTTTAAAGTAACAGATTCAGATTTATTTGTGATCAACACAAAAAAATGGTGCCACATTGTTTTGTAATATAAGTACATAAAAAAGTATATGTACAAATATTTAAGAGTATTTTAAATAAAATTTTGGAAACGCAAATCCATTTATGTTTTCCTCAAAGTTTCGTTATTGATTATGGTCGCATTGTGACTAGTGAACGAACACTAGTTTTTATTAAGAGACAACAGGATGAGAGAAAGACAGAAAGATATTTTTTGGATATAAATTTTCAAACTGGAAACATTCTAAGCTAAAAAGTATAAGATATTCAACGGTATGAACTAGGCGCTAGCTGTCCTTGACATACTCTTTAATTTAACTCTAATTCTCTTAGCAAATATGCATCACAAAAATTTAGGACGTTTACGCAGAATAAAAATTGAAAATTCATGGAAATAACTTATTTTCATACTATTGTAAATCAAATTTAAATGCTCACAGTGCTATGTTCTTCCCAATGACTTGTATCTTTATTTTCTCTTACTATATAGAGATAGTTCGATATCTTATTTTCAATTTAATTATTTAACAATATTATCTGCTTTGACAGGGAGAAATATGAATGTGCCGGCTGGTACAGTTGTTGATACAGAGATTACTCACCCTACTGAATTAGACTTCTATCTAGTCAGTCATGCTAGTATACAAGTAAGTCAAAATAATTATCATTAAATCAATTATATTTTTTTTTATAGAGTGGTCTATATTGATTTTTAATTATATTGATCTATCCAACATTATTTTTATTTTATAGGGTACAGCACGTCCTACCAAATATCATTTGCTATGGGATGATTCTAATTTATCAGAGCAGAATTTAGAAGAAATAACTTACTATCTTTGTCACCTCTTTACCAGGTAATATAACTTGTTTTGTTTTTTTCAGTAGTTATTGTTTACTTAAAATTACATATTCGTTGGAATAATTCAAGAGCTCTCTAAAAAGGATCCGGGTGACAAAATTTAACAAATTGTGACCTAATTTGACTAGTGCTGTATTCAGTAGATTGATTTTCTTCTTCTTTCTTTTGCTCTTTTGTCTTTCTGCTCCCATTGCAAGCCTGTTAACTTTGTTCACTTATTTCTATCCTCGACCATTTGACACATCTGACCCCATGTCTTTACTCTTATTTTTTACAGGTCTTTGTCCATCGGGTCGCCTCCATATACCATTATGTCTTACAGGAATCAGGCATTCTCCATACATGTCCCAGCCACCTGAGTTGAAGTTCCTTTATTTTGGCTTTCATGGAGACCACACCTAATTCTTCTCTAATGATTTCATTGCGTATGTCTCTCTTTGTCTTTCCTACAATTCTTCTGAGAAACATCATTTCGGTTATTCTTGAAACTAGTAGGCCTGTGCAAAAAATTCGCACAGCATATTGTTATCAAATGCTAAATTAATAAGAAAATGCAACTTATCAAAAGATTAAGACATCAGATGTTACTTTATCGATAAATATAATCCACAAAGCAAACAAAAATTAATTCAAATCTTCATTTTTGTTTGGAACCAACAGTATACAAATTTCAGTAAGTTGTATATTTGCTAAAAATTGTCCGATTGCGATGATTTTTTTTTTCCTTTTGTAGGGAATTTAGTAATCTTTTATATAATTATAGGAATAACCAAGGGAAAAGTGTGTAATTTTTGTAACTTGTTTGGCTGAATTTTCTGGGTGATTGGACTATTTTGCCAGCCTGAAGGAGAAGGAAGCCTTCGAAATTGGTGGCTCAATCTTGAGATTTGGTAAAAAATTAACGATGATAAGGCTTGCCGATCAAAAACACCATCGATGAATAATATAAACTCCCCTTCTCTCGATCATAGGGACCTCAAGTCGACGAAATGAGACATGTATTCAATGACAGTACTACAATTAATGTAAGGTTGTGTGGATGCGAACCCTATGCCTTGCGTTATCTCGAAAATGGTACGTTTCTCGGCTTAAAAACGCAGGATCCGATAGTTCTGCAGGAACTATCCGGGTCTTGCTGTACGCATCAAAATCTTTAAGATTCAATTTGTCCCGTATCGATCTACAGACCTACCACCGTTCCAGTATCGAAGCCTAGCAAAATGTTTGTATCGACTTTATTTATTTTAGAAAGAAAAAGAAAAGCGGAGAATACAATTCGCTAACCCCCCATGAAATTCTGAATCCAACGGTACCCCATTCGTGGTATTTGAGCATGACAGGAGCTTATATTTGGTATAAAACCGATTTCGAGCCTTACTGTAATAATATATGTACGGATATGCTTCTCTAGAATTGTGCAGTGTTCTGCTCCATATATTAACACCAGCAAGAATATTGTTTTGTCGATCACCAGTTTGGTATTTCCATTAATTTCCTTCTTGCCAATTAATGTATTGCTAAATTAATAGAATAACCTTTTATCTTTCTGCACTCTGTTTGAAATTTATCTATCAATGTGAGTATCTCTGCTTACAAGTGTGCTCAGATATTGGTATGTATACCACGCATTCCATTATCACTCTGTTGCAAATGATATTTAATACTTTTTCATTTCTTTCATTATACATCAATTTACTTTTTGTTGTATTTATAACTACCCCTTTTCGCTTTGATTCCTCACTTCATTCCATTAACTGCTTTCTATAGATCATCTTAAGAGTCTGCTATTAGCATTGTGTCATCTGCAAATACAAATGCCTGTTCCAAAATAGGTCCGGTCCCAAGATAGGTATGAATTTCATGAAGAAGCTACAAATCCAAATTTTGGTTCTTAAATTTATTATACAACTATAATGTGATTTTTAGCAATACTACAACAGTAGTAAGTTGGCGGATCAAGACTGGACAAGTTGTGTTTCAAATATTTCTCTTCCAGACAGGCTACCCTGATCGTAGCAATATATGTCATTGTTGCTGTGGAGCACTTAACAAATATTGTTTAAGTTTTTACAAATTAAAATATTGCTATTTGCTACAGATTTTTTTTATTAACAAGAGGGTGAGAGAAAAAATGGAAAGATATTTCTTGGATAGAAGTTTTAAAATTGGAAATCCTATTCTAAGCTAAAAAGCACAAGATACTCAATGGTATGAGGTAGTCCATGTTGTAGCAATGTCTCCACTCAGTCCCAACCACTTTTCTCTAACAATATTTATTTTTGTAACTATGCATCTGAAAAATTCAGGACATTTAGCATTTTTATTGTTGTAATTCTAATTCTCAACATTGAATATTATTTATTTATTTTTATTTTATTTTAAATTATATTTGCAGCTGCTTTACAACATATCAAGCAGATGTGTTGTTGGTTCTGTCCTCTCTTTTCTTGATAATTATTTATATTGTGAGCAGATCTGTAGGCCACTGGCATTTTAGTCTTTGTTCAGGCTCTCCAAGTAACAGGGAAGAAGAAAGAGAAAGAATGAGTGGATTTGGATGATCAATAGTCAAATAGAGAAATGTTGTTAATTTGTTATAAATGTCAGATTTTACTGTGGTATGTTCATGTCATTGTCTATGTGTGATTTGAAATAAACTAAGCTGGATTTACAATTTTCGGATTGTGCAGTGTGAATTTTGATTATGTAGACAGCATTAGATTTCTGGTACCAGCCAAAGAAAACTGCTACAGATTCGCATTGAATGCTTGTTAGAGCTTATGGTGAGCATTCTCTTGGCGGGTCACACTGCTTTGAGGGGTTTAAAATATTCAAGAGTGGCGATTGGATGAAGTGTGAACTGTGAACATGGAAGGCCACCAAAAAAATTTGAAGGCAGCGAATTGCAAACCTTGGGATGATGTTCAAACCCTTTAACAATTTGAGGATCAATTAAATGTAACACAACAAACTGTCTCCATAAGTTTGAAAACCACAGAAAATATCCAGACATTAGGAAAATGTGTTTAATATGAACTGAATGAACAGTAAAAAAATACTGCTCGCCAGATACAAAATAAAGTAATTTCTTCATTGAATTGTGAAAATGAAAATTGGATGTATTTTGTGAATCCTAAGAATCAAAGATCATGAATGACCACTTCTGGTGAACTATTAATCCTTTTACTGCAGTAGCTCATTCGAGTGTTTCTACCAGAGTGTTTAGAATGTTCCCGTAATCCAAAAAAGGGGTTCAGAAAAAAAGGATTATTTTTTTGCATACATTTGTTTAAAATACTATTTTGAGTCACCCTTCAAGATCTTAGCTTTCAAAAATGCATTTTAACTTATTTAACTTTTAATAAAATAAATAGGACATACGCCTTCCGCACCAGATTTGGCTGCATGACTTCTTAAAATAATTTGATGCATAGGGACTACGTTTTACTGTATGAATTGTAAAGTTTATCTAGTTATTTTATGTTTTCTTTCAGGTGTACACGTTCAGTTTCATACCCTGCACCTACCTATTATGCTCATCTCGCTGCTTTCCGTGCTAGGGCATATACAGATGCAGACAGGTAAGTTTAATTTTTTAAAAGTAAAAAGCAACATAAATTTAATACTATACTATAATATACTTATTTGCCTGTTTGATTCCAGACTACAGCTGAACCAACTTCAAGAAGAACAGGTTAGAAGGACAGTTAAGGATTCTGTTTGTAAGAATAATCCAATGTTCTTTGTTTAAAGAAAAAATGTTAAGAATTGTAATCTTATATATACCACCTTTATTCATGAAATATGTATATAGAATTTGATATATATAAAAAAAGTTACTTATTACTTTTTTGTAACATTCTACTATTGAACAAATAATAATGTGATATTAAAATATTTTTTGTGTTTACTTTTATTTTCTGAAAAACAATTATTTTATGTTTGTGTAATTTGTAAATTTATTCGATTCTGAATAAATTTGGTTATATTAAATGTTCAAAGAATTATTTAATTTTGAACTGGGTATAGCTTGAAATGTTGGTTTTATTTATTAATAAATAAACTTATCTTAACAATCGTTTAAGCGTTACAGGAAATAATTTAAAATATTGAAAAAATATAAACAACTCAATGATTGGTCTGGTTTGTGGTGAAGGACTTTATTTTTTAGCCTTGGCTGTCTTGAATGTTCAGTCTCAATATGAAAGTCTTGTCCTAATTACAAAATCATTCATTGTTATTGTATTCAATTATTTTTTATGAGACACTTAAACACTTTAAGAACTGATTTTATTTGTTTAAGTTTATATTAAAGATTGTTAAAATAATAAAGTATGTTTTATTTTATTTTTTAATTTTTATTTCCTATTATATGTAGAACCATATTACTTTTCAAAGAAAAAAATTGTTGTGGTTAGCTAAAGTGTATATATCAACTTGTTTTCTTCAAGAAATATTTGCTAAAAATGTAATTATCCGTTTTATTCACCTGACTGTTGATTACTGTAAACTAGAATTTCGTATACAGGGTGTCATCGTAATAATGGTTAACATTTCAAGAGGTGATAGAAGTATACCTTGAGAGCTACAAATAAATTTATATAGATCATACCAGCTGGCACACAGTAAAGCAGGAAATTTAGGTTGTGTGTTTTCTTAAACATAACGATTTTGTTGAGTACTAAGTGATAACTAAAAATAAAATATTTAGTAAATTGTCAATTTCTATATACTCATAATGAACTAGATGAAATTTGCTACAAATGATAGTAGAATTTGACTTTGTTAAAGGGATCAGCTGAACTACAAATACACCACTTTTAAAAATACTTCGTTGTTTAATAAACATTAAATTGTCACAGATTAAGCTGTGATTTGCAATAATTTTAAAATAATATATGATATGGAATTTTTTTCTTCATAAATTACTAGTATTTTAATGATAATAATCAATAAATTATTCCAAACCTTTTATTTTTTATTTATAATACTCCTAACTCAGAATTACCATCTACCATTTTGTTTCAAAGTGGTAGCCAATGTTATTCTATAGACTGTAGCACCATACGGGCTATATCAATTTTAACAAATCGCTTAACCCAAGATCTGAATTTATTGAATGTATTTAACTTCCGATAATTTAAAATTCCCACAACAAGCTGAGAGCTGAGAAAAAAATAACAATGAATGCAGAATTTTATTTATTATTACTCAATAAGTACGCACTTTTTGATAGATAATGTTTAAGCTTATTAGAAAGATAACAAAATTACCTCAAAAATCAGACTACTTGGGGCAGGTATATGGATGGTGTTTAGAACTTTTTATATATGTAATGCAAAGCCAATCTTTATTTTGATTTTTGATAGTTCAAACAGAAATCTACAGAAGCACTCAAGATTGTCATTTTAGGAATAATTTAATTGTCTATTTTTTAACAAAAATGGAGAAAAAAATATGCAGGCCAACAAATTTTATATTTTTAACTTTCCCCAGAAGTGGTAAAGAAAATAGTGCCACCCATATTTGATAAATACAATAACTATTTGGAAATAATAAATTGTTATGTAATAATTTGCATTTTTTATTCGGTGACTTGAGATACTTAGTATTAAATTGATTATAAAAATATATTTATATTTTCAATAAAGCTATTGTAGAGTTTCGCTTATTTGAACTCTTAATATAAAACAAAATTTTTGTTCTAATTTTCTGACAAATATTCATTTATACTTTCAGTATATATAAGCTGTATATTTGTCTATATTAGGAAGTGCTTCCCGAAATTCATGGTGAAGATACAATCCATCAATCATTTGTCTTTTGTAATGAAAACCAAGTACCTCAGAGAAAGGCAGAACTCTGGAATGTTCTTTTGCAGCCACTGCTGAGTTGACCAGCTGGAGCAGAATCCTGCTGGAAAACCCAATGACTTCCAGCAAACACAGTATCATTTAGAGGCTTGACAACTGGTTCCAAAATATCGTCCTATTAGCTTTTAGGGTCTGTTTTAACTCTTTTTTTTTTTTTTGCACAAAAATGGAGCTTTGTGGTACCATCAAAGCAAACTTCCCACCAAATCATCACTGAGGAAGGGTGACAACCACTTTCCATTCTTCCAATGACTTCCTGGGCTTCTTTAGGAGCTGTTTGCGTACAAACGATCATTTTGGTGATTAAATGATTAAGGTCACATTTTATTATGAGAGACATTGATCTGACAGAGATTCCCATTTCCCCAAACATGGTTTGTTGTTTTTGAATGGGATTTCTGCCTGTTTGGCAGCTGCTGCATTTGCTGTTCTCAAAGTGGGGGGACAGCCGGGTCGAGGTCTGTCACATACAGATAGGGTCTCATTATATCTATTTATAGTACACGAACATTCCGCTTATACCCAAAGGTTTCAAAGTGTTGAAAATCTCTGACCTACATTTTCCAACTAGTGTAAGGCTATTTGATTTTCTTCATCACCCCATTCCAAGTTAACTGAGCTAAAGAAAAAATACAAACTAATTGGGATTATTATCCTGACATATAATAAAAAGAACCTGATAGGAGGTAAGGATTATCTAAATAATACCCAAGGATGTAAACAAAGTTCAATTTTTGTAACAGTACTTATGGCAGAACATGGTATATGGTTGAAAAATGGAGCATAACTTCAACAGCGTTGGCTGATAATTTGAGGATATTTTTTAAAAACTGAAATCCAAAAATCATTTTACGGCATTCCTTGAAGTTCAGCTGCAGCATCCAATCATTCGTCAATTCTATAAATCTTCACTTCCATTTTGAATTTTCGTAGACAATTCATTCAGTTTAAAAAATACCAGACCAGACAAAGGAATGTCTACCAAGTGATCATTTCCAAAGATTTGGTGTACTTAGGTTGAAACAAAGCGAATGAAGAAATGTGCTTAAAACAAATGAACCATAATTTTGAAGTTAACCAATGATCCAGCCAAAACTTTGCCTCGGGTATAGCCAACATATCTCAGTGTAGAACAATACAAATTCATAATGAGATCCTATTTCGGCACAGATTAGTTTCGAAATTTGCTGATTTATGTCTCTTTATTTAATAATGTTTATGACAGCAATGCATTAATTAATTGTTTGCAATAGTTCCATTCCAGAACATTCCCTACATAAATATCAATAAATACCTAACACATTCAGAAACGGTACCTCCCAACATAGTACTGAACCAAAGACCCTTCATCGGTTGTAGTGGTACAGGTACTTTTTTTTTTAATAGTTCCATTTGTAATCTTAACAATCATACTTCGGGAGCTCTGTAACTTTTTATAACTTTTATGTTAATAATTAACTGTTTAGCACACAGAATAAAACCTATTTATATTTGCTGCAGCACCATTTGTGCAAATTGTAATAAAATTATAATTTCTGGTACAATAAAGTTTTCAATATCCACAGTTATCAATCTACATACTTTTTTCCTTAGGCATATTCTGACTATAAAACATTCTGACATACTTCAAACAGCATTCTAATTATAAAAAAAAAAAATCAATTTGTTGTGGAAAACAGGAGGATCTAAACATTTAATTATTTCATTATTTTGACCATAAGACTATCATTGCAGTTCAGCCAAGTTGTGAGCACTGGAATAGAGAACAAATACCAATGGGATCTAAATTTAACATATATTGAAAAAAAAATTAGGATTTATGTACAATCAATCAATCAAAACTCATTATTTGTGGTACATTCACAAGAAACATAGAATGTCTTCATAAAATTTATTGTTATATCTATTTACAACACATTACATTTTATATATATATATATATATATATATATATATATATATATATATATATATATGTATATATAAATATATATTATATTTATAAAATCACGTTTATTACATTCAGTTAATGAAATTAACATACAAGCAACTGATGATATCCACTAATGATAAAACTACAATATAGAACAAGAGAAATTGAAATTATTACTATAACATTGAGAAAATTTTCAAAATGTCTTCACTATCACCTTGTTAATCATTAATATAGTTACATACACATGGAAAGTATATATGTGATAATCATTGGATCAGAATTGGTGGAGCAAGCACAGGAACTTTTATAAATATTTGTTGTTTAATGTCAAATCTGGTTAACCTCGGTTTTAGTCTCCAGTAGCACTTAAATACAATTTTCTCTTTAAGCTTTCCTAGAATTAATAAACCTTAATTTACATCATCAACAACAGCATTTTTCAATTTTTACGTTATTTATATACATTTAAGAAAACAACCATAATTATAAATGGAAACCATGTTAGTTAAATTAAAGAAAAGCCATAAAAATTCATTTTAAACATTAGTTTCCATAAATAATTAGGAATAAAAATTCACTTATTCACAGTACTTAATGTTAAAATGTCAAAACAATACAATCCTTAACTATTATTTACATCGTACATATATATATATATATTTATATTCATACGTAATAGTTTATAAGTATATATAAAATATTGAAAACAAGGAAGTACATGAAATGCTCCTTATTTTTATACTTAATCTTTACAAATCAAACATTGAAATGAAAGTTGTTATTTCGAAAGCAATAACAATATAAGAAAATAATTCGTTGTTGAGTATTTAATTTTTCCAATAAAAATAAAACAAACAAATTACTGAGAATCTTCCAATTTATCTACAATCACATAACAAAATGTTATTTAACAATTTCCACAATGTATAAAAATTATACATCATTCTTTTAATGCTTAATGATTCCACAATAAAAATAATTTAAAACCAGTGGAACATTGTGAAAGTCTTCAATATGATCCATCATGCCACATTTACCTTGATCTTTTAGCCAATACGAATAAAAAATGTTTTATGTCATTCAAGGTGTTCTTTTTTCAAAGTCACGCCGTGGCAATGCGTGCCCTAGAAATGTCTGGACTATGTCTGATATTGAAGCATCGGGGCACCAAGGTTGGGGTGATGGGAGCTGTTCATGCGCAGTGCAGACAGGCTCTTATTATACCACTCATCATCAGGAGACATACCTGAAACAAATAAATCCACAGCTATTTAATTTGTTTTAAGCTTTCTATAGAATTAACTCATCTGAAGGAAATAAATGAAAATAGTATAAATTAATGTTATGATGACTACTCTCAAAATCCCTCTGAAACTTGTCCCGTCTTGTTATAATAATCATGAAGGCTACTCAGTGTACAATGAGATTGTTCTGAAACAATTTTTTTTTTTAGGTTAAAACTTCTTTAGGCGAGTTTTGCACTTTCTTGTGGATAGTGAATAAGATTGAGCCGTCAGATTTCCGATATGTAAGTCCGCTGGAGTGTTTTTGACTAATTGAAGTGTTTTTGCATATGGATTAAAATGTCCCAAAAACTAAAAATCGGACCTGCATACTGTAAGTGAGAGAAATGTTCAAAATTTCATCCTCTCTGTAATAGGCTATTATTCAAAATTAAATATTAACACGATGCCATATTAGAGAGACAAATGATAATGAGTTTTATTTAAGATATGGATTAAAATATCTAAAAATCACAGAGGTATTCGAATTTTCCTACTCTTGGGAATGATTTTCTTTCTAAGCAGATCCTGTATTAAGGTGGAATTTTCGGCTTATTATCATATATTTTGTTTTGTCTTCATTATCTTGTAGGCCTATCTGCTCTGCCTCTCTTATATGAGTCTTTGTGAGTTTCTCAAAGTCCTCTTGATTACTTCCATGGACATCTATATCATCTGCGTATGCAAGGATTTTATGATTCATTCATTCACTTTATGTTTATATTACCTTCTCTAGTGTTATGTTGAACAATATTCCATCTTCCTGCCGTAAGTCCGTTCAAAATTTGAAGCCTTCAGATACGACAAGACCATGTAGCACGTCTGATTTTCAGTTTAAATACAAAAATATTATTTTTGTATGGTTTTGTAATTAATATTATGTAATTTTGATAAATAATAACACTTTTTCTTCTTCTCTTCATACTCTTTATAATGAGCTATTATTTACAACTTATATTTCATATTGGTCTAAATCTTAGTGGTCTAACCTTAGTGGTCTAAACCTTAGTTTATTTTTTCCTGTTTTTCCATTGCAACAAGAGACTCAGACAAGATGACTGTTTAGCATATCTGATGTTAATATTGTTTTGGAATGTGCCATAAGAGAATCGGAAACCCAAATATAAGGGACAATTTTTCAACAAATCGGATCAAATTCTAGCCTATGCCAATCATTTGGATGTCATAGGATGCAGTTTTATGAGCACTCTACTTCCTAGATCTACAAAAAGCATTAGATTAATTTGGATTTCAGGTAAATGAGTCCTAAAGAGGAGAGAGAATGCCTAGAAGGGAAAATAAAAATTAGATACTTCGAATGTATTTAGATTTCGTAGATAAATGTCAAAGGAATTCATTTATCTTGCAGCACTGTTACACTCAACCAATAGATGCTATTATGGACTCTTGAGGCATCTAAAAGCAAATCCCTCTCCAGGACCACCTAGATAAGTATCTATTTGAGCCCTAATCAGACCCGTCTTCACATATTCATCAGAGTGCTGGACGATGGCAAAAGCACTAGAATCATTTCTATTGATATTTGAAAGAAAGATTTTTAGAAGGATTATGGGGCCTATGTGTATCAACGGTGTATGGAAATCAAGCAAAAAGGCTCAGCTCTACTATGACTCTGATATCATCCATATAATAAAGGTCGGACGTCTAAGATGGGAAGGACAATTTGAATTATAATGAAGTCTCCAAATCGCTCCTAGAAGAAAAAATACTCGGACGTTGAAGAGTTGGAAGACTTCGCCTGCATTGGGTGGATTGCACTACTGAGAAAATAGTCTTCTAAAGTCAATGACTACATAAGTGTTGCTAACAACAAAAATATTCTGCATAGAAGAGAATAAGAGAAGAATATTTAGAGAACAAGGGAGAATAGAATCTGTTTAAGAAAACAGATGAACATCTTGAGCTGGCAGAATTAGAGAAATTAGGAGTTAATAAATAACACAAGCAATAAAATGATGTTAGTAAGATTTTATATATATATATATATATATATATATATATATATATATATATATATATATATATATATATATATATATAAGATAACCCTTTAAACAATAACCTTCAATATGAACAAATATGAAAGCTCCTTAGAAGTGATGAAAGAAAGATATCTAAATGATAAACATTTTAAAAAAACTTAAATGAATAAGATCAAGCATCCTTAGAGCCTATGTTATCAAGAAGTTGTGAAAACACCAGATGATGAGGTTATCATTGGTTTAATAAATCAGCTCAAGGTATCTACCAAACTTATCTTTTAAAAGGTGATGATCAGCAATTGAGGAATGTCTTACATATTACCTCTGTCATGCCAGTATTGGTGAAGAGGTCTATGCTATCAGTCAGGTACTGCGATATGCCAAATTTTCAAGAAAGGTGACTAAGAGTATAAGATTCTCTTAAATATTCTTTTCTATTTTTTTTTCTTTTGTTGATCAAATTTTTGAGTACAGTAGTTCCATTCATTCCATTCCTCACAAAAAGAAATATCTGGCAATCAATTACTTTTCCTTAGTTCTGCAGAGCGGTTTTATAAAAAGTAATTATGTTGAGTAAAAATAATGTTAATGAAAATAAAAAGATATGTTAATCAAAATCATTATTTATTTTATTGTTTTGTTTGAACATTTAAGCCATTACTGCAAAAAAAAATTAATTTAAAAGTTACTGAAATTAAAAGTAATTGTTTATTTAATTTAATTGAATCAATTAATTATATACTTTTTTTACAAATCTTATCAAACTTGCTATCTATGTATTTCATCAATAATATTTGCAATATAATAAGAAGTATACATGGTATTATGCAGTCAAATGTATAACAAAAACAAGTTTGTATCTATCTAATCAACATATCTGATGAATATATGTTCCTATGCATACATATGATTTATATTCACAAAAATATATTTATATAAATGCTTAAAATCGATTTGGTCTTATGACATACACGGTAGGAGGCAAAAGGCCCAAGGAGAGACTTGATTAAGATGTCCCTTAAGTGGGTTAGCCACTCCCAGCTCAATCTGAGGGATGCCTTGAGACAATTTCCTTCACTGCTCTCAATTTCCTGATCTCGCCGGTAATCTTCGCTCCCTGGTGCCTTTTCATTCTTCAAAATCAAAATTTTTCTTCAGCAGTGAGATAATATAAGGACATTTTATCATCTTTTTAAGAAAAATAATACTAAATAAATGGCATTCTGAGGTATAGTTAAAAACAATAAGAGATTACTCAGATTGTTCATCGAAGACGACCCCTTAGAAAATATATGGAGGCTAATAATCCATAGAATAAAAAAAGAAATGTTGGATAAATATAAACAATCTAGTAATAATAAGTAATATGATAATAGTAACAGGCCGTTTATTACTACAAAATACAATGAGATGTGCATACCCATTGAATCTTGCCTCATTCCAGATGTCATATTGGTGGCTGAATGGCTCATAGAGAACGGTTGGCTCATTGAAGGATAACTAGCTGCACTCATCTGTAAAGAGTTTGTTATTTAAAATATAAAAAGTAGAATATAAGTATGTGATAAATTATAACATAGGAAAGAAAATTTTAATAAATAAAAAAAAGCTCGGTATACACAAGAGGTATTTAAATTATTTATTTTTTACAAACATTGACCTCAGGTTAATCCAGAAACAGTAGTCCTATCTTAATCATGTATTAGCTGACAAGATAAGACCACATCCTCTTCTTAAGTACAGAGGACTTCAAGCTATTTAACTTTTGCAGGAGGAAGAATATTGTGAAAAAAGCTATTAATATAAATATCACATATAATAAATTAATGCTGAGTGGAGAGGATTTTTTCACTGATTCAAAATTTCATTTAGACAGATTTTGCTCTTTTTTGGTTTACAATCTATTTAAAAATTTGGCAAAATATCTTTATATTAGGAAGGATAACCAATTAGTTCATCATTAGAATATTTTCCTTTATGTGAAATCATAATCAATGTGCTTTTAGTCCTAAAATTAAAAGAGCTTCGCTATAAAAATTAAATTTCAGTAAATGAAAATCAACATAAGCATATTCATTTATATATATATTTTTTTTAATGAATATAAAGGAAAATTCAGATAATTTTTAACAAGAAATGCACATGAGAGACAAATGATCTTCAATCAAATTTTAATAAAAATTAGTAGTTCAATTATTTTGACATGTTAAAGTACTCATATTAATTAAGGCCTTAGCATAATACAAGTGTTTAACATTAAAGACTAAATGACATATTTTGGTCATTTTCTTTACTATTTAATTACTTTTAACTAATCAAAGTAAAGTTACAGTCTTTCAATATTCCAGCATTTATATTAAAATATTTTTGGTGCAATGTTTAAGAGGAATTTCTGAAAATGTATCAAACTGCGAAAATTGGGTTTAAAATTACCATTAAACGATTTCATAACTTGTTAAACGGGCACTCCAACCAGCTGGTAAAAGAAATGGCCACACTAGTATGTCCGAGAACTCCAGAAGACGATTGAAAAGGGTCTGTATGAGGGATCTATTTAAATAATGTTTTAGTAAATAAAAGCCATGGAAAGGATACCACTGGGTATTGCTATTCCTCATGCCTATAAAGCCTTTTTATTTTTTTTTTTTTTTTCACTCATTACTACGCCAGCACATCTGCTGATTGTGAATATTTGTAATTGACAGGTGCGAATAAATATATGAATGTGAAAAAAAAAATTACCATTGCAGATATAAGGTAGTTAGTTTCTTATTTAAATTCTTAAATATAATTAGCCCCACGTGTACTCTTATTATTACACATAATATAAAAAAGTCTATATAAAAATGAAACAGAAAGTCAATAACTGATAGAGTGAAAAATTAACAGAAACATTGAGTCATCAATATAATATTTTTCTAATTTATTAATATATTTTAAAAGGATTAAAAAAAAAATGATTTTTTTACATTTATGTATGTTTCAAATTTTAAAAGGTGTTATATTATATCATTTTAGTAGCGGTTAATTACCTGTGGGTATCTGTTGATGGTATTTGGGTGAGGATAAGGTTGGTATCCACGTGTAGCCGTTGGGTAGATGTTGCGCATCATGGCCCCATTACAAGTTGGCAGAACGGAAGGTGCAAGGGCTTTTTGTAGCTGCTTTTCTTGCTTTCGGTATTTCGCCCTCCGATTTTGAAACCACACCTATAAGCATAAAAGAAAAAATAGAATTAATCAATAAGGAAAACGTATCCTATGTACATAATGAATTGGTAATTGAACTATTTTATTAAATAACTAAGAAATTAAAAATCTTTATTCATATGTATTCTTAATAAAAAACATATGCTTAATAAAATCATTAAAAGAAATGCTTGGATTAGTAAGAGCATTGTTTTAAAGCAGTTTAATACTAACAAGGGGTTTAACTCTGACAACAACATTCTTTTCTAAATTCGGCTCTCCACTGAATCGTGTAAAAATCTGTTTACAATGTCTAAGTTATGTTCAGTGGCATACATAACTTTCAAAAGCATAAATAATAATAGGCCTTTTCCTATTCTCTATAGACTAATTCAATGTATCTATGAATTTTGGCTACTCTCTTCTCTCATTTAATAATTTAAAAAAAAGAACCTTAATAATAATAACAATGATTAAAAATCTAATAAACTGGCAAATCTGACAGGTGTACCTACTGTGGCTTCTACTTCTAGCTGTTTTTTATCATAAAACAGATTATTGAACTGTGTAAACATCGGAATTTGCTTGACGCATTAAACGGTCAAATGCATCACTATCAATAGAAAAAATTGTGAAAAGGAATGATCTTGTCTGTCTAACAAAATTATCAGATATAAAATATTGAATACAGAAGTTTAATATAAATGAATTTATAATATAATGCACCAAATGTTCATATATATATATATATATATATATATATATATATAGCCAACTCGAAACATTATATAAATTCTACACTGTTTTACTTGAAAACCAAATTAAAGTAATAAAATCAGAAATGTTGAAAATTGAAAAATGTTCGTAAAACTTATGAAAGAAATTTAATTTGATATAGAAATATTTTTCTAATGTATTGTGTAAAGATTATATGTGGGATTGTATCTTACCTCTTGATGAAAAAAGGAAGAAGTTAATTAAAGACCCAAAGTAGGGCTTAGATTTGAAGGATATTTTTGTTTTTATTTACGAGAAAACACAGTCCTCAATAAATCTATGCCAATCTTGGGTAGTAGATTTAATATACTAATTCTTATAGAAAGAATTGTGCTCTAAAATAAATATGTTTTTGTAATTTCGCTTTAAAATATATGTTTTTAGCAATTTTGAACTGAAATATTTTTTTTTTTGTGATTTCGCACAAAAATAAATCTGTTTTTTAAATGTGGCACAAAAAAAGAGATCTATTCTAGGCTTTTCATTTAGAGTTTGATTCAGTTGGATATATTCACTATTCATTATGTATGGTTTTAACAAGCTTAGTTTTTCATCACATGCTATGGCTCATGAAAGTGACAGTTTCAACATGGACCTCGGGCCTTACTGGAGGTCACAATGTGTCAGGTGAGCAAACACATTTAGAGACCTCTGGCTTAAATAAGTACAACTATTGCATGGATAAAGTTGTGCTTTTAGTAAAACAATTGGATCAGAACTTTGCTTATTAGTGTAAGTCAAACATACTTATATGTTTAACTTTTTCATTATAAGCTTTTTTAGTTAATGGATCAAGAAGGAAAATAAGTTTGATTTAAGGTATGAAATAAATTTAGCAAAACAATTATAAAAGCGCATATATTTTTAGAAAATATTGGACAACATTCTATAAACATTAAACAAAATTAACTTTTTATTTAAAGGATTAAATATTTCTATTATTATTATTATTATTATAGCAGAGAGGGGAAAAAAATATGATGGAAGTTCAAAACTAGGAAACATGTATTGAAATAAATATAAAAAATGTTTTCAATAAATGAAGTAAAAATATATTTTTTTTAATTGTTCATACTCAGAACAATTAAAAATATAAATAAAAGTTTAGTAAGAGGTAGGTTGTAGATTGAACTTCCTAAAAATTTTCATATACATGGCAACACTGATGGCGGGAAGCAGTAAGCTTCAGAGACAACTACTACATGGATTATAGAGTTAAAACAAGTGCATTGTCATTCTGTGATCTTTCTATAAAATTGATCTTAAACAATTAATTAGCCAAATGTTTGTTAGCAAGACATTGTGGGACCAACAAGATCGAAATTACAATAGTACGTCTTGGAAAAAATATGGCTGTGCCAATGAACTGAAAACAAGTAAGTAAATCAGCATTTATTGTTTATAAAATATATAAGTATTTTAAAAAAATATTGTTCATCATAAGTGATAAAAAAATCGCGAATGCTCTGTATTGCATTCAATTTGAATTTGACCTAACAATTTGAATTAAAATGGAAATTAGTATTTATTTTTAATGTTTTGTTGCGTTGCACACCATATTTTTCGCTAAAACTAAATCTATTGTAAGAATAAAAAAAAAAAATGAAAATAAACACGGCGATAAACGGAGAGAAAGAAGATAAAAGTCGTGAGCGCTTACTGATTCTATTATACACTGGTAAACTTTTCTAGTAGCACTACTTCCCTCAGCAGGACCAATTTCATCCACAGTGATGACGATTTTTCGAAATATAGGGACATTGATACCTAATTGTTTAAATATAATATCAGATCTATAATTATTAAACTACAGTAAATGTATTTAAGGTTACAAACATATGCTTTATACATCCATGAAATATTTTAATTCTTCTTTCAATTAAGTTCTATGAACTAGTTTTTTAAAAAATGTCATTGCTTTGTTTAGGTGGATTTTAAATAATTTTTTTAAAACCTAAAAAAAAAGTTTACATTTAGCTAGTAAATTTAATTTAATTTCTTTGAAAACATGTGAATAACGTTAAATAATATTTTTTAAAAATTATTATTTATAATTTTTTCGCCACTCATCGTCACCTTCTGCAATTTTCTATATTAGATATTGTTTTTTTCTAAAATTCTCCGCTTTCCAACGATATATTATACGTACACGTTCTGACAAGTATTTCCGGAAATTCATTTTCGACCTAAATAAACATTTTCCATTTTTTATCCATTTTTCAATTATCAAATTCTTTCATTTTTTCATAACTTTTAATAATGAGAGATAGTTAATTATTTAAAATATACCAAATTAAAGGTACTTTAGAGGAAGACATGTTGAACATTTTATCATTTAAGCCCTGTAATGTGATATCAATGGCGATAAGAACTCAATGATATTAAAGACCACTTAATTATACAATAATACACCTAGTTTCATCAAATTCGTTGGAGCCGTTTTTGAGAAAATCGTAAAAATGTATTTCATCAATGATATAAAGTGCCACTTCCGATTTTGACGAAAAAATTGCTGTCACATCCAAGGCATATACCTAATATCTTAAATACGTAATATCATTTTCGTTTTTGAGCTATACTGGTCTCACACACACACCATTTTGCGGGACTTTGTTATTTAGTCTCAGGGTTGAGTTCCTCTGAGACTGAATAACGTGTATTTCCGTTGAAAACTCAGATTCGAAAATTTTCACGATCGCAATACTTTCTTTTACTTCACATTATATTATATATAAAGGTAAGTGAAAGAAAAAAAAAAAAAAAGTACAGAAATAATTTTGGTCAAATTTTTCAGATCAAAATTATCATTATACAGTCGACCTAAGATACAATTTCAGAATAATCCATTAATATAAAAGAAATTATGCAATTTTAACAAAATATTATTAATCAAAATTAAAATCCTGATTAATTTAATAATAGACTGACACAATTATAATTGATACCTGCTTCTTGAGCAATTGGCTACAAGAGGATTTACCGGGTCCGAAAAACAGGGCGGGGATTAATTATGATGAGTTAAAAGTCCCACCGGGCTCCGGGATTTGAACTCGTAGTAATTCGTGTAAGGTTAAGGCAAATATACTTCCATTTTGGAACAGCGAACGTTGGTCAACAGGATGAGCTCACACCGGATTAAGCTCCAACTCCGTGAGCTGTGAATGTTTGTATCATTAGCACCGTTTTTCTTAAGTGACTCCGAAATAAGGCGCGCAGATGAATTACATGATGAGGAAACAGTTATTATTTATTTGTTGAATAATATATTCTGTCACTTGGACAATGGTTATAGGAAGGTATGATCACATCTACTCTTTTAAGAGGAAAATCAATTAAAGTAATTGGAAAGAGACACATTTTGTACGAAACTTCACACAAGGTGATTACTTCAAAGTAAAATTGAAGTCACAGATTGGGGAAAAGTTGCCAAAGAAATCGGTCTGAAAACTGTTAAGTTTATAAGGTATATTAATCATTTATTCTTGCACAAAATATTTATTTTCTAGATATTTAAAGGTTATTTACTCTAAATGAATAAACCTCTCATCTTAAAAGTACAGCAACATTTTCTTCACATTCAATAGAGAAGGACTGATTACAACCTTCAGTAGCCGTAAATTTCTAAATAAATTCATGCAATTGTTTTTTGGTCAGTCCATAATAATTGTTATATTTATTATCAGAAAATTCGTCTTTTAGGACAAGTTATCCATGCGCCTTTCGTTAATTCAAGAAATATATGTTTTTTTATGGAGTAATGAGTTAATAATCCCGTCTTCCAAATCATCGGAATGAATCAATAAAAAAATCAGTAATCCCACCCATTTGAAAATATTAAATTAACAACATACGAGACCACAGTTGAGAAAAACTGCTGCTCAACTTTCGCTCATAGCTGCAGGATCACTGCTCACAGTCAACATAATTCTAATTTCCTGTATTTAAATCTGCTTCCTTTGTGACATCCGTTCAACAAGCTGCGTCTCAACTTGCGTTAGTCCCCTCGGCCACCCTGCCCCTACTGTTAAATTATATTTATAAATTTCATTCCGGAGACTCTAATATATCCCCATCCCCATGCCTACTTATATTATTACAGTAAGGCTCGAAATCGGTTTTGTACCAAATATAAGCTCCTGTCATGCTCAAATACCATGGATGGGGTACCGTTGGATTCAGAATTTCACGGGGAGTTGGCGAATCGTATTCTCCACTTTTATTTTTCTTTCTAAACTAAATAAAGTCGATACAAACATTTTGCTAGGCTTTAATGCTGGAACGGTGGTAGGTCTGTAGATCGATACGGGACAAATAGAACCTTGAAGATTTTGATGCGTACAGCAAGGCCCGTCGGATCCTGCCTTTTTAAGGCAATAAGGTACTATTTTCGAGATAACACAAGGAATAGGGTTCGCTTCCACATGATCTTGCGTTAATTGTAGTACAGTCATTGAATACATGTCTCATTTCGTCGACTTGAGGTCTCTATGATCGAGAGAGGAGGAGTATATATTATTTATCGATGTTGCTTTTGATCGGCAAGCCATGTAATTGTTAATTCTTCACCAAATCTCAAGATTGGATTACCAATTTCGAAGGCTTTCTTCTCCTCCAGGCGAGCAAAATAGTCCAATCACCCCGAGAATTCAGGCAAACGAGTTATGAAAGAAAAGAAACTTTATTTGCGAATAACTAAAAAAATTCACATTTTTCCCTTGGTTATACCCATGATTATATAAAATATTACTAAATTCCCTACAAAAGGAAAAAAATCATCATCGAAATCGGACAATTTTTAGCAAAGATACGTCTTATTGAAATTTGTAAACATGTTGGTTCCAAACATTAATGAAGATTTAAATTAATTTGTGTTTCCTTTATCGATTATATGTATCAATAAAGTAAACATTGATTTCTTTAACTTTTGATACGTTGCATTATTTTATTTTCCTATTAATTCGGCACTTGATAACAATATGCTGCACTAGTAAAATATAAAAGAGCCTGTCGTCCTCTCTCTCCCACACAAACTGTTCAAGATATAGTGAAAAAGTAAGTAAAACTAAGGAAGCTATTAATGAAATGAAGCTAAATGAGACACTTGGTTATAAAATATGGTAATTAACAAAATTAATACTGTCAACTATTTCTTCTCCATTATAATATATTATTATACCAGTAATAAATTATAAAAAGTTCCTAGTAAATAAAGCAACAAACATCGATGTTTTTATGATAACGTTTCGGTAAAATTAATATTTCAATTTTGTTTTGCGACATTACTACATGCACCTAAATTCAGGTCAAGAAATGATGTTAGACATTTAGGTTTCTGGAGAATTGCAGTGACGAGAGATCCTGGAGGGTACAGAAGAGGGGGCCACATCTCTAAGGAATACTTTATAGCAACTTCCAGCCTGGAATACAGATCAGCCTGTCTCGGCTTCTTACCAGCTGCTTTTCCTTAGGCAAATCTAATCTACCAGTCTTAACGGTTTTCATTCAACGAATTTAAAAAGAAAAAGAGTTTAAAAATGCAACTCCGACAAAAAAGTTAACTCATTATTTTGACTATTATAAAAACTGAGGAGAAAAAAGTATGAAATCTGTCAATCTTTACTATAACCGAAAACAAGAGTTTAATGGGTAATTAATTTTTAATGTATAAATGTATATAAAATAGCTGTTTATTTCACTATAGTAAAGTAAGTATACTCACCAACTGTGCGAATTTTGAATTAGATTGACAGCTATTAACACAGTCGATGTATGATTATAGAGGGGAGTAGTATGAACACGATTTTGTCATTGGGATTTTTTTCGGAGCTAAACATACCAAAAGTCCACACTTTTAAGAGGTCAGTCATTTTTTTTTTCGTTAGTCGCTCATAACAGAGAAACATCCTAGCGACGATGATGACGTTTCATTCAAAATCATAGCTTTTAAAATTTTGCAACAATATTGGTTATTTTCAGTTTTTCGTAATCTCACATTTAGAAATGTACACCGCCCTCTCAAAAGTTTAGGACCACTAATTATTTTGTTAAATAATATGATTTAATTAAACAAAAGCATAATTAATTTCACTAACACAAGTTCAAATAGTAATTCATGAAAATAAACTATGCTTTAGTTGGTCTGGATTTTATTTACATTGAAACACTTTTAGGTGATTAAATGATTAATGATCATTCATTAATGATCTCGTAGTTAAAAAGAGTTGCTATCTACACAAACCTTTTTTTTATTTTCCTCTTAAAATGGAAGGAATTTTTCTATAAACTGCGTATTGCTATTCACACATTACACTATGAAAAGAAATCTACGAAATATATAACAGCACAAATAAATATATCAAAAAGTTAGATGCCAAACACCATTGTTCTCTACTTAGAGACATACTCTCACCACGATAAAGCTATTAATTAACCTAAAATTTTATTTACTCAAGAAGATAAGTTTACTATTATAAAAAGGAAGAGGGACAGAAGACTGACTACCCCTCAGATTCGAGCTAAGGTTAATAATAGTGTCTCTCAAACATTGGTTTCTGTTGCAACGATAAAACGAAGACTCAAGGAGGACAATTTACTGGGACTTGTTGGTACCCTAAAACCAGTTTCAAGACCTGTCAATAAGGAAGAGTAGGCAATTGGAGGATCTAACAGTGGAATCAAAGTTTTATAGTTCATCGTTGGATTTGAAAAATCAAACAGGACCAGGATAGTGATTTTCTGTTTGTCTATGAAGAAATGAAGGTCTTGAGTAATTGTCAACAAAGCAGTCTGGGTTGACATGGGATGACTGGAGGGGATTGAGAAAGCTTTTTGTTGTAGGAAGGTGTTAAGCTGTGCATGGACAATTCTTTCAAGAGATTTTGAAAGGTTGGAGAGAATTGAGATGGGTCTGAAATCGGAAACTTTGTTTAACGGGCGGACAATAACCTTTTTCCAGGCTTACGGGAAACTGGAATTTTGTAAGGAAAAATTGTAGATATGCATTACGATAGGAGAGAATACAGGAATTAGATCCGGCCAATAGTCATTTGTTCGGGATTTTAGGACAGAGGAAAGTAGGTCTTCTGATGAAATATTTGCAAAATAGAAATTTTCAGGGTCAAAGGAAATTTCTGGAATGCAGTAAGAAGAGGAAAATGGTAATGACTCAGGGATGGAAAAGTGGGAATTCAGTTGATCGGAAGAAACAGGGTACGACATGGACGGATCTACGGGAGGGGGGGAGCTTTCGGTCTGAAGCCCCCCCCCTCCAAAATGGTAAAATACAACCATGTTTAAAAGAAAAAAAAATTTAATAATACCTCTTTAAGAATTATTGTTCGTGTAGTTACATTTAAAAGGACTTAAGTAATCACTTAAACACCATTTCATATAGGGAGTTAGTTTCTTTCTGTTAGTAATTATCGTAATTTTTATGAAGAAAAAAAAAGATTCGGGCTGAAGCCCCCTCCCCAAAATTAATCCTGGATCCGCTGGTGGGGTACGATGTACAAGTTTTTGACTTAACTAGGGAGATATTTTTAAGGATTTTCCATTTGGACTTTTTTTTTTGGAAAGGTTTAGGATTCTTGAATGAGAAGTAGCGATCCGGATTAAGTGTGCGTCTAAAACGCCTCTTTTAGCGTCACTTCTCCTCATTAATTCTCTTATTTCTGGATTATCCAAGGAGAAGGAGGGCGTTTGAAGGTTGAGATCTTTAAGGATGCGTGTTGATTCAGGAATAGAAGATAAGGGTAAAGACACACCACCATTTCATCAATCATCGTCATGATTCGAGGAAAAGATTTAGTTTTTCAGAGGTCAATGAGCCAAGATTCCGCCATGTGACTTGCCTGAGAGTGAACTTAGGCATTTAAGTCTGTTTTATTGATTATATATATATATATATATATATATATATATATATATATATATATATATATATATATATATTAAGGTAGTTTACGAAGATGCACATTAATTAGTAAATGCACTACAGTCTATAACGACACATTTTTTTCGGCTGCCATCTTAAAAGGAAAGGGCGGATAGTAATATCGAATTTCAAAAAAATCAGTCCAGTGTTCTCAGAGAAGAGCCACGGACGGCGGACGGACTAATTTGTTTTTATTCGATTTTAGGATTCTACGTATCTTGAAACGTACGTATTACGTAAAAGTTTGAGGTGAGGTTAAATTTTTTGAATATTTTTTATCGATTATAGTGGTTCATTATTTAAAGTAATGAACCAAAACAACCATTTCCTAATGACGTTCATTGATTTGTAGCGTTACGTTAATCTTAAAATAGAATGTAATGTCATCTGATGTTTGTACTTTACAGTTCTGTCGTCTCATTATACGGTGAAGTTGCAACTTGCATAGGCTGTATTAAAGAAATAAATATATCTTTATCTTTGTTAATAAAATCTTTTAAGTACGCTAATGACTTGAGAGATCACAGTACACGTAACCTATGTGGATTATTTTTGACATACTCAACTTAATTCCTAACCATCGAACACTTCATATGGAATCGGATTTCTAAGATTTCGTTATATATACGCCAATTTTTATTTCTATGAAATTCCTTTAACGACTTCTACTAATTGTTACCATTTTAGCTCCCCAATATCATTATAATTGTTTTCTTCTCTTTTCAATACATTAGTTGTAGCCGTTTTCGGGGCTGTGAAGAGAAAGTAGAAACCTAGATACTAAGTCTCTGGGGCACCCTTTAAATACTAAAAACCACAAGAACATATTTCGATATAACATGTTGAATTTTGTTTTCCTTGTCGATTACGAAGGTTGATTATTCGAAATAATAAACCAAAGTTAGTGAAGTAGAATAACACAAATAAGAAAGTTAATTCACTGAAATCTCTAAATTAATAAGTTCAGTAAGAATTGTTTGAAATTTTGAGAGGTTGGTACAATAGTAAAGTAATATATCTAGTTCTGCCATAAATATTGTTACAAGGAGATATATACAGATTTCAACGGAAAAATTATTTTTTCAACAACTTTATTAGAAAATAAAATGAAAATATCTATTTTGCAATTATTTCATCAGACGACCTACTTTCCTCTGTCCTAAAATCCCGAACAAATACTTATGGGCCGGATCTAATTCCTGTAAAGATAATCAAACTATGTCTTCCTGTCATCTCTTCTGTCGTAATGCATATCTACAATTTTTCCTTACAGAATTCCAGTTTCCCGTCAGCCTGGAAAAAGGTTATTGTCCGCTAGTGGAACAAAGTTCGACTACCCTCCAAAGTTTCCGATTTCAGACCCATCTCAATTCTCTCCAACCTTTCAAAACCTCTTGAAAGAATTGTCCATGCACAGCTTAAGGCCTTCCTAGAACAAAAAGCTCTCCTCGATCCCAGTCTGGTATCAGATCACAGTTCTCCACCCAGTCTGCTTTTGAAAATTACTCAAGGCCTGAAAATACCCCTTAAAATTCGTAAACTCCTAATTTCTTCACTTATTTTCCCTCATTTAGATTATGGCAGCATTGTATAGGGTTGACTGTCTGGGGAGTTTCAAATCAGATTAAAGATACAAATGAATTGTTTCATTACATTTATACTTGGAGTCCCCAGGCGCTCCTACGTTCTTAGTTGGTATGCCGAGTTGAAATGGCTCTAACCAGTCTTCCGACTGCTATACTTCCTAGACATATTATTTTTTCGATTTTTTTCTTACCTTCTCGGTTTATTCCTTGTTCCTCTGTTCATTCGTTCAACACGAGATTCCAGCCCACAAACCTGTTTGTTCCTTCTCATAGAACTTTTTCCTTTAAAAAGTCCTTTGTAATACGTGCTACCTTGTTTTGGAATTCCCTATCAATCTCCATACGCAAATTCTCATCCTTGACCTCATTTAAATATAATTTATCTATCCATCCCCTCAGCAATCAATCGTCCGAATATGTGTAAAATAATGTTAGCTAAATTTTAAGGTCAATGATATATCATTTGATAGGAAGAGCAGTTCCTTAACTTGGGCCAAAATGTACTACCATCATACCTCTGAAATATAAACTTATCAAGGAAAATACAATTGCGCATAGGTGAATTAAAGTAGTGCATGAAATTGGATAAACATTACATTGAAAAACTTTTAAATTAGTTCCAAACTTTCCTCTAGCTTTGAGCCGTATCAGACAAGTCGTTTTTGAAATATAACCGTTTTAAAGAAGATATGTTGGCACATGCGAAAGCTAAAGAAGATGGAATTTGTTGGAATTTATGAGATCATCTTGGCACTTACCCGATCCACGGAATCCCTGAAAATTTCATCGATATCGAATTAATTGAATTGGTAATAGGTGGTATGACAGTTTTATGAATTTGATCTAAGGCAGACTAATAGGAATACAAATTAGTTCCTTCATTATTAAAATGTGCACGAATGGAAATTTGATAAGATAGAACTATTGTTCACTTCTCACATATACGGATATGAGGAAGCAAAAGGGGTACGTTCTTCCAATAT